ACATCAGTTCCTTCAAGGTTGCAGATACGCCTTGCTGATGAGTGCCAACTAGCACGAAACCTAGGTCCAAGGCTTCCTGTGGCCGATTGCCTCCAACCATCTAATACTAAAAATTCTATCCAATCAAGAGTCATTCAACATGTATAATAAACAAAATTTTTATGACTTGTGATCAAAATTTGACCTCGGACTTACAAATATTGGTCTACCTTTGTTAAACATTTCAAACAGTGTGTGTGTGTGTGTGGGTAAACAGTTGTAAAACATTTCTTAACGTCTCCATAAGAAGATATGGACAGTCGAGAATTTTCACCAAGTATTAATAATTAGTGATACATATCCATTTTTTATTTATTAATAAGGATTTCCTATGCATCAGCTAACATCTCGCCTTCATGTCTGTTCAAACTGTAAGTATCTAGAATTTTATGATGAGACGTATTTTCAAAATTATGGTGTTTAGGATTAGAGTTCAGTAGAAGCACGCTGTCGAACTTATTGCTTTGTCTTCTTTCTGAAGATTGAGCTGCTTTATTCGACCTACTGGAGTTGTCAGGTGACTCGACAGCTACAGATTGAGGATATGGATTCTGTTGCAGATAACGGAGAATGAAAAAACGATGATTGTTCCAATTACACAGTTTCTTTGTTAATTTAATTCGATTGCAAAATAATTCAAATGAACTGTCGTCAAGATTTGACAGAATAGTTCTAAACCTCTGTTATGTTAACTTCGATTAATTTCCCTGAAGAAGTTCAGACCAGATTGCCGAACGAAACTTTGGAATTACTCATTTCAATCTCGCTGAGACTTTACAAATACAATTTTTTACAAATGTCTACTTCTCACTCGGCGCCCAAATATTTTAGAACTATTCTGTCAAATCTTGACGACAGTTGATTGGAATCAAACAATTATTATTTATCATAATTCGTAAAATAAGTATATCAACAAATAGTGTTAAATATTAAGGTATTGTAGTGATTCATTTCCGGTTATTAAAACAATTATGTTAGCTCAAATTGAGTGAATATGAAAACGGGAAACCTGCACAAGGCTACCCTACTCTTCCATAGAGCACAAAGGTCGTTCAATTTACTCAGTCATACTATGATTTTGACCACCTATTTACGTTCTTGAAAAGACAATCTCTGTAGTCATGCGAATTTCCGAAAGGTTTTCAACATACCACTTGGTTTGTTTTGAAGGGATAAACACATCTGAGGTAGAATGGAGTATGTTGCAGACAGAACCAAAATTCCGTCGAATGCTATTACAATAGATGACAACTCGCCCCTAAGAAAGATATGTACATCAAGCTACCCTAAATGGATGATCATAGCAGCTTGATAGCTAGACAAATATTGAACTCTGAGGTTAAAAAGACTTTTTATGCAGCTAATATCATAATAATTGAGAATGTGAAACCAATATATCTATCTAAGCCCTCTGAACATGCGAAAAATGATGTCACATCCCACTTTATTTACCAATTTGAATGTAAGTGTGGACACATGCATAGAGAGGACTCATCGATCTCTGCAAGTAAGAGCTGGTTTCAGAAGCAAATAGAATCCCCGGAACCCATTAATGGTGAGAACAAGCAACCTTGCTGCTCTGTTGAGAAACATATTATAGAAACAGGACATAAAATTGACGTTTCCACACATCTTTTAAACCTATCTATAAAACGTGTTTAGGGCGTATCCTAAAGTTTGTGGAAACCCTAGCAATTAGGAAGTTGAAACCACCTATGTGGGATCAAAGCAACAATTTGTCATCATACTGAACCTTCTTTGGTAAGCCTTGTTTTGATACCAGAAAGGGTAGATGTACTATTACCCGTGTTATTTGGTTTAGTGATCGACATTGTTATTGTGAGCTTCAGTATGTCCTTTTAACTTGACCTAAGTCTATTTTCTCATCTCTTAACCCTTTATTAATTTCATATATATTCCTATGACAAATAAGTGTGTGATCAGATTGTTCTAAATGTGTTGCGCAAATAGATAAGTTTTTTCATTTGAAGATTCTATTATGAGGAATAGGTAAAATCAAGCTGTGTGTAAATATGATCAGAATAAAGATGTTATTATCATTAGCAACAATAAAAACTGTATGGTTTCTAAATTTAATCTTTCAATTCGGTAATTAATCATTATGAACTAACTAATTGAAGAAATATTTTCAAGTATTGGTTTTGTAGGGATTGTGTTGGAAGGTTTCATCATGAGCTGACATCGATCGGGTAGAGAACCATTGAAAAACTACCAGAGAGTACTGGACAGCTGTTTCGTCCTAATTTGGGACTCTTCAGCACTACGCACCCACCCCACTTCCAGGGTTCAAACCTAGGAACTTCTGGTTACAAGGCTAGTTCGTAGACCGTTACACCACTGGGAACCGATACAATGGCCAGCCCATGAATTCAAACTTCTGCTAGTACATGACCACTTCGAAATGTATTCTTCGATGAGTTACTGCCTCATCTTCCACCTACTGGTCACGCCTTCCCACTAGAACCCTAGGTTAACTGCCTGAATAGGGCGAGTCGCTTGTGAACATCAGATTAATTTTTAAGTAATCGTTTTGTAGAGATTGTGTTTGGTTGGTTGGAAGGTTTAATCATGAGCTGACATCAGTTAGAGAACCATTGGAAAACCTTGAAGAATTATTTCTTTGCGATTCCCTAAACAATACAATCTCATATACCGCGATAATTATTTGACTTTACTCAGTTGACTGGCATCGGTTTTTAGTTTATTAAGCGGTGAGTCATATTATTTACAAGAGCGCAAGAAAATCCAGTGCGGCACCACAAAACGAAAGTCAAGTCAGTTAGCTCTCAGTAAAGCAAATCTTCATTCAAAACGGATATCCACCAAGATATATTGACAACATCAAGCCGAAAATTCAAAGACAAGAGACGTCATCCGTGTCAGGAAAGGAATTTTACATCAGCTTCAACTTAAAAGGTGACCCACTTAGTGATGTCCTTAAGAGGAGAATTTCGGCTTGTTTGATTGAGAACTTTCATCACAGCAACGCTGAAAGTAGAGTTGTCCAGTCGCCCACTGGACTACAGAAGCCCAAAGGACAAGATCTCACATCTATGTGTGGTACCAGGTATATTGGTTGTTCGACGTGTATCCTGTCTAAAAGGGTCCAAGAACACTATTCCACGTGGTTGCAGAAAAGTGGTAGTGACTCTGAAAGGAGTGAGATAATCGAACACCTTATCAACACTGGCTACTGCATCTCAACAAACGCCTCGTTCAAAGTGAAGAACAACCTGCCAAAGGCAATACGCTTTCATCTCCTTAGCTATTCAGATCGGTAAACCAGAGTTATGCATACAAAAGAAAATCGCTCAACCACTTCTACTATCACGGTAACAACCTTGTTGATTTCTACCGACTTCATTTCTTTAAAACTCTTACATAATTCCTCATTTTCCTTCGTTTCTATGTGCATCCTAACCACAACTCACTCATTAAATTATCCATCTTATTACGTAACTTCGGTATATACTCATTCAACTCCTTTTATGCATTGACTAATATCAACAACTATGTCTGTTAAAACGAATGACTTTCGTAACTACTCTCTTTCATGAAAACATGTATAGAAATACGATTGTACAGCTAAAGCAGAAAATAAATACGTCGAAGAGATCCTCTGTGCTGAACTATTGTGTTTTGTTTTCGTTAACATGCTTATCAAGCTGAGATGAGTTTATACACACCTCCAAGACATCCCCATTGTAAGATGAATTCAATTCTCATCCTTAAATCAAGTCAACCTGTCCCGGATCAGCCTAGCATTGTTGCAACACAATTATCCATGCCTAACGTGTCTATCCCACCTTGTTTAATGAACTGTGTATGTGTGTTTTTACTTCGATCCGTTTAGTCAGACAGTTGAACTCATGACCCAATCAGAGTATTTTTGTGAACTGTTATTTTGCTGACCCATGTCTTACTTTGTATTATTCTGTTGAGTTTATCTTATTTATTGATTGGTTAAGTAGCCAACTGAATTCTATCTTTGTGCCTATGCTTTGTCTATCTCTTACTTGGGTTCATTCTTCTACTGACTGCTTACCTGAACGGTCGTGTCTGATCCGGCTAGTTCGTAATTTTGGCTTTAACGTTATTCCGCTCTGATAGTGGTACCTTGCTTTCTGTTAAGCATTGTGTATTGTACTCTTGAAACCGTTAAGGTTTGTTGTATATATATTTATTGATTTGTTAATTAATAGTACCGTAGAAACAGTGACCGGCTTCTTGTTTGTTCTGAACCGGGATAGCCTTTATCTACGCGTGACTTAATTTCAAGCGATATTGCGCTTACACCCATTTGAAAGTCTTGGTTTGCAGGGACCTGATTGGTTACAGGATTTATCATACAGTGGTATCAACTTGAGAACTAATGAGAATTCAAGGAGTACTGGACTTTGAACTCTTCAGTAGTACGCATCCCTTCGGAGTTCAAACCTACGACATTCCGGGTACGAGGCGAGCTCATCATAGACCATTAAGCCGCTGGGACCAGCCGGGCAACTCATGAATTCTAAGTTCTGTCAATTCGTTGTATATTGCGGAACCACTACTAGTTAGTGCTATCGGTGAGTGACTAGTCTCCTAAGTAATTTGGTGAACCGCGTTGGTCACAACTGACTTAGTTGCTAGTAAGCGTCAAATTGATTACAGGTTTAGTCATGAGCTGAGAGAGAAAGAGAGAGACAAAGAGAACTATTGGCAAACCAGAGAGGGAGTACTTGACAACACTGTTTCGTCCTAGTTTGAGACTCCTCATCCACATAGCCACTATATTAAATGAGCTTTATGAAAAGAAGTTTGCGGCACTAGAATCCCCCCCCCCCCAACACTATCATCGAATCGCCTTTCCATCATCATCATAATCAACACCGAACCCGATGATGTTGAGATAGACAGACAACACAGTGAAAACTATACAAGTAATACAACATATTGATTCCTGTTTTTATTATTATCATTAGTAGTAGTATTATTATGCAAAAAAAATATATGTACCCAAAAACAAGAAATTAGACAAATGCTTATTCTTTTTCTGTGTCACAAAACAAACAAAAAAATTATACACAATGTATACAATACGGAAGATACCTTCCTTTTATACGTATAATATATATATATAGAAAAAGAAACCTCACAAAGCAGATTCAATGTGGAAATGGAGAGAGAGAACGTAAGAGTTATCAATCACTATGATAACAGATACATGCATAGATAGATAGAAACGTTGTTTGTGAACATCACCACCAAAAACAGTAATAATCATAATAATAATAGTAATCTAAATCACTTCAACATTGAACAATCAAAACAAGCGAAAAAACAAAACAAAACGGAAATTATAAACATTTAAAAAATATATATATGGATAGGATTTATTTAAATTCGGTGGGTTTCTCTCTGTGTCTCTCTCGCTCAAGAAAGGGTATTCACATTCACAAAGTTCTTGCTATTATAAATGCAATCGTCGCTGTTATTATCATTATTATTATTCTTATGATTTTTAGTGTTCTTCTTCAGGAATCTCCTCCTCTTTTACTACTAATCGTGTTTTCTTTGTATCCGGCAGAGAAGGACTACTATCGCCAGATGGACGTTTACGACTGGCCACACCTTCATCGTCATTAGTATTCTCGTTTATATTAGTATCACTGGTGTTTATATTATCAGGGGTAGCAGCAATCATAGGAGTAGGAGTATCAGTAGTAGTAGGCGATGGAGGAGAAGTATGCGTATCAAATGTAATGTTGGGCGCTTGATCATCTCCATCAACATCGTCGTCAACAGCATCATCACTATCATCATCATCATCATAAGGTACAATATTAGGGGTTGAAGTATTCTCTTCACCTATTGTTGTTGGTGTTGTTATTGTCGCTGTTACTTCTGGTGTGGTTAATAATTCAGGCTTTATTTCACACTTCACTTCAACTTTAAGTGGTTCACATGGTGTCAACTCTACTTTATGATTATTAACATTCTGATTCTGATTGTGATCATCACTATCGTCTTCATCAGAAGACGACGACGACGACGATGAAGTATTTGTAGCCGTCACTGTAGCAGCAAATGAATCATCAAATGTTGTCATTGCAGAATTACTCATATCTTTGGAATAAGCATAACTCGGTGTTGTAGGCTCTGTGTTTTCATCTACTTCTCCTTCTTCGCCTGCTCCGCCTTCTTCTTCTTCTTCTCCTCCCATTCCTTCGTCGTCATCGTCTCTGTCTTCCTCCTCCCCCTCGTCAGCTTCTTCTTCTTCCTTTTTATTATTATTATGGTTGTTGATAATAGGACAAGTTAGTGGAGGAGTGGAGTCGTCGCCATCGTCGTTGGGATTTCTATCACCATTATGTTGTTGCAGTTGACTATTACTGTTATTATTACTATTACCATCATCAGTGGCAGGAGTAACGGTGTCTTCAGTTATTTCACTTTTTTTCGTTTTCAATTTTATATCACTATCATCAACAACACCACTATTACTATCCCCATTTGTATTACTACTAAAAATAGTAGTAGTACTAGTAGTAATAGTATGTGCAGTTGCCGAAATCAATACTGGTCTATGCTGTGGACCATTAATCTGCATACCATTATGATCTGAGCATATCCAACGGACATTGAATACTAATGAATTATCTTTCATCACTGAGTTCCAAAGTTCCCTATCAATACTATCAACTTGGATACAATTTTCACTGGCATGTTTTAAACAATATGAATTAGGACAACGCCAGCATAAATGTGTTGATGGTTTACCGCAGACATCACAATAATGCCATGGACAATACCATATACCTAATGGTGGAATGGATAAACCAAGACAGCGTACATGATAAGCTTTTGAGCAGTTGGATTTATCGCATAATACTAACTGGCCACCATCTCCACATCTATAAAGAGTAAAAAAAAAAGAGAAATGAAGAAAAAGTTAATTGTGTTTTTTGTTGTTGTTGCAAGTACTGGTTTGTAGCGATTTGATTGATTGATTTGGTTACAGGATTTCATCATGAGCTGACATTGGTTAGAAAGAATCATTAGAAAACCATCAAGGAGTACTGGACAGCCAGCTGTTTCGTCCTTCCGGTTTGGGACTCCTCATCAGCACGCATCCACCTCCAGAGTTCGAGCCCACAACCTTGTGGTTACAAGGCTAACGAGCTCTTAGACCAATAAGCGACTGGGACCAGCCAACCTATGAATTCGAACTTCTGCCAATTCGCGACATAAAATAAGTTTTGATGTAGCAGAGTACGTCATGTGCGTCGGTGGCACAGTAGTAGAATATTCGCCGACCACGCATGTGGTCGGGGGTTCGGTCCCCGCCGATGCACTCCTTTATCTCGCTAAGTATTAAGACTGGTAAAGAGGTAAGGCTGGGCATGAGGCCAGCAACCCCATCCTGTAAAAAATAAACACCACTGCTACCGAAACTTCAAGCTCTTAGCTTGAAGCTCTATGTTCCGCTGGGAATGTGAAGGAATAAAAATTAAAAAAACACGTCAGATAATTACAATTTAATTGGTGGATGCTGACTAGCAGTGGAATCCAGGATGCGCATCTCGTCCTATTTGGGACTCGTCAGTTGGATTCCACTGCTAGTCACCATCCACTAATTAACTTCTAATTATATGCCCAGACATCATCGAAGCATCCGCACAAGAAGCCGACATGCCGACCTCAGATCGAGCACTTCGGTCTAATCAATCGACAGGAAAATCTAAAATTCAATTAAAGTACGCCGTTCGTTGATGATCTTCATCAACTCCACCTTCTCTTTATTCACTTGGAATCCTGTCTTTGCTACTTCTTCAGCCAGTTTGTTGGTTTTTCGCCTGTAAGTCTTTGAGTTCGTGCGACGTTAGACATATATCGTTTGTGAAATCTAGATCTTCTAGAGTCTTCTTATCGGTCCGTCTAGAGTATTCCTGTCTCCTGACTCCTCTCACAGTCTAACTCATAATCTAATCTACCAAAATTAAGAATATCATCGGTGATAATAGGCAGTCAGCTTGTTTTACTCCTGTATGTACTTCGAACGCCTCGCTGAGTTTCCCGTCGTGGATCACCTGACACGTGCCACTGACATATATCTGTTGAATGAGGTTGATAAAGACTTGGGTATTGCACGCCATAGTGTTGAAGTAGTTACCAAAATCAATTCTCGGTCAACACTGTCTGTCGAAAGTCTTTTGGTAGTCGATGAAGTTAATGTAGGGAGGGGGTTTGACTGCCATCCTATGCTTGTTCTGTGATGACGATGTATAGAGTTGCAATTTGATCAGCACATGATTTGCCTTTCCTGAATCCAGTTTGTTGTGTGCTGGCGGAGTTCTGTATCCAATGCACTCATCATAAGACATCAATACTATATAGCATACAGGTGAGAGACAAAAAACTAAAGAGCATAAATTTTAGAGTGCTTGCTAGATATTACCTACAGTCGACATACTGCTACTATTATTATTGATCACTTAGATTCCAAGTGGGACGCATAAGGCTCCAACAGCACATCTTCATTTTATCCTGTTCCGTAGTTGCCTTTGGGCGGCTCGACAACTGACCATAGACCGCCTCTGTCTCTCCCTTATCTCCTCCATGTAAACTTCGGACGCCCAACTTGTTGTTTCATATCGGCGTTATATTCGAACGCCTGTCAAGTGTGGCATTTCACTCAACGGTCTTCTTTATTCAGTATGTGAAAGTTGTAAAAAAGAGCCGCAAAAAACAAAATCAAGCAAAAAAAGGTATACATTCACATTTACAATTGTGTTTTTTTTCCTTTTTACCTGTAACAAAAATCTTCAGAAAGTGGTGGACCAAGACCAACCAGATAACTTTGTTCATCAGCATTCTTTCTATTCACAGATGTTGCAGCAACACAGGCAGCCATACCTGCCGGTTTTATTTGAGCTAGATAACGACGACTACCACCATGTGTACGTGAACGTGAACGACGTGTAGACAATGAGACAGCTGCTGATATGAGTGGAGTACCTGTCAGTACTGCTGGTGAAGATGCTTCATCATATTTTGTTGAAGTAAAAGAAGAATCTGCTTCATCATCATCAATTTTTTTGATAGATTTTCTTTTATCCGGTGATACGGGTGTTTGTGGGACAACAACAGCAGCAGCAGTCAGAGTATTGTCACCGACATTATTATCATCATCATGATTGACTGTTTCTTCACTGGATAATTTAAATGAAGTTGGTAAACGCGGTGTACTGACACAAGTGTCTGCACCGCATAAACATAAACTAGTGAAAGCCATTAGACCAGTTGACAGGAATTGATTAGTAATATAATTGATTGTCAACTCTTCATTAGCTTTGATAGATCGATTGGCGAAAAGTCCTAAAATTTTATAAAGAATGAAATAAAGAACATTGTGTGTGAGAGAGAGATGAGAGAGGCGAGGGTGGGTGGGATGGATAATGACTGAATTCAAAAGTCGGCAGTGATGACGAGACATAGCTCAGTCGCCTGCTTAATAATTGGACTATCAAAAACCTTCGTTATCAATCAATCTACCGCATACAAAATTTCTCTTATTCAGTTTGTTTAAATCTGGTAAAATATGACCTTTAATAGTATTGTTTACTCTGGCGAGTATTTAAAACATTTACAACCTGCTGGGTGGTAGGTAAGGAGGGGGGAAATCAATCGACAGGGCTGTGAAGCTACATCGACTGAGATGGTTAGAACATGTGTTACGCATGCACGCCTAGTCATCGCCTTCATCGACAACAGGCAATGTTAACTGACATAGGGTCAGGTTGGAAAAGAGAGAGTTAGTGGTGGTCAAACCAAAACATGACTTCATCAGTCAATGAAATTCACAACAGTTAGTTTAAGCCACGTAGGAAGGTGTAGACTGGTTGGGGTCCTCGGGACGGTAAAAACCAATGAAGCTGGCTGGAGACAATCGGTGATATGGCTCAAAATCGTTCTCAATGGCGCAGATGCATCCACTCCTTGTGACTCATGATTTCCAATGAAACTATATTGTTCTTCGTTATTACTATACCTTTGTCTCGCACCTATATTTAATGTCTCTATTATGCATTTCTTCTACTTTCTTCTCTTGCTTTGTGTGCTACATGGAGGGAGAGTGGCGACTTGAACTGCTGCACATCGATGCGAAGTTCTATGTCGAAAACAGACAGACAGACAGACAACCTGCTGATTCGCAAGTTTCTACTAAACATGTGAACAAGTATTATCTTCAATGGCAGCTTATATCCCAATACATGAGAGATGACCGTTCCTGAGTGGTGTGCCCTTGGTTCACAAAATGTACTCCTTAACCTTCTATAATTGGTATTCAACAAAATGTAGTCGTGTATTTCTTGAAGGAGAAAAAGAAGAGATATCATCATAATGGTGGATTGGTTTGCGCGCTTCAGGTCAGCTACAGCTGTATCCCACGATCTACTGTCAATCAATCGTTTATTTGAAGATCCTGAACGAAGAGAAAGAGAGAGTATCATGCAATAAACTCCGGCGAAAATCCTGTACATGATATAAACACTGTTCGGAATAAAGCTGCTATTACTATCATTATTAGCTTATGCATTGTCTCAAGCACTCGGCTTTCACAACCACCTTGGTTTCTAATATGAATCCCATCCGACACTTACTCAAGTCTGACTCATAGCCTCGTGCACGTGACAAAACCTATTCCGAATAAATAAGTCCAGACAACAGTCTAGTAGTGTGACTAAGGGATTTTGTTTTTAAAATTTCAACTTTTATCAGATGAAACATACACTGGAAGTCCGGGCGGCGTCTTCCGCCGACGAAATACTAAGCCGTGAGAGATACCCAACATAACATTAAGGAGAACAGAACAGGACACGCCTAGCAAAGATGTCCTTACGAAGATTCCATCCTGAAAAGCAGCTGTATAACCGCTTTCTTCATACATAACTTCATATAGTTACAATGATTATTTAATTCCGCATAATGAGGAATGCAGATTAAAGGTGATAGTGAATTTCAACTTGATATAAAAGTTTGAAGGTGTGTAAGTAGATCAGATCAGCAGGGGTTTAGAGAAAAAAATTACTTGGGATTAGAAAATACCTGCGTAGTATGCAAAAAAGTATTTAACAAAGAACAGGTGTGAACGGGATGAGCATAAAAACAAATCGAAATAATAATAGCTTTTATAACCGAAGGTGAAAAAAAATAAACAAACGGAAACTAATAAATCAAAAAGAACTAACTAGATCCATGATAGATGTAGAGATTGTACTAGTTTCCAGCTTTCCAATGTCATACATTTTTCTGATTGGTTAACAGTTGGCCCAAGGTTAAATAAAGTTGTCCAATGAGATTACGCCATGACTACAACGTAAACTAAACATCCAGACTTGAGGAATAAACACGCCTATCCCTGTACAGCTAATGACTTAAAAGGTCAGTTTCAGTTTTGGCCACCTCCTATCAATCTGCACATGCACCACAATTACACAATGACTTTTCTAATCACGTGCAATTTTATTTCGATGCCCCTTAGTGATCTTATTCACATCTTTAAACTTTCATACCAAGTTGAATTCTTTTTTTACCACTTCTAATCTCCCTTCGTTATTGTGTTGAAATCCCGAATCTCGCCTAGTCCGTGAGTAAGCGAAGAAAAGAGGGGGGTATTAGTAAGGGGTGTGTGAGGGGTTAGTAACCTCACCACCACCCCATAAAAACCACAAACAATATCCTCAGCTCTACTGAAAATTTAAAACTTGGAGTCCTACGTTCCATTCAAAGAAAAAAGGATAGAAAATATTTGATTAAATAGACTACTTACCAAGTCGTGGATGTCCATCAACTATCCAACATTCAGCATGTAAATTTGGTTCACATGCATGATTAATAAATCTGCTCAAACTGCCTTGATTTTTAGCGTCTATAATTAAATCCATACGTGGACTAAGCCGTGCTAGGTAAGTTTCACTGACTGGATGAAAATCTTTACGTGATGAAGTTATACTGGACAAGGCGTTGTGTCCACCGAGAGCGTCTAAAATTCGACGATTCGCTTCTGATACATCAATGACTTCACCGGTATACTCGATAACTAAATCACCCTTTTTAGAGGGAAGAAGGAAAGAGAGTGAGAGAGGAAAAGGGTGTTCAATTAAATTATCTTAAACAAATCAATGCCTAGTAAAGAATAATTTTTTATGCGGATATTTCAAACCATTTAAACGAAATTCTTGATAAGCTAGTGAAAACAATGTCCAAAAGGATAGCTGACACGGAATTAATTTGGTCAATCCAAGATACGGGATTAGTACATGAAGTCTTTGACCGTTGATATGATGCATGTAGGAAGGTGTAGACTGTCTGTCTTAAGGTTCTCAGGACACTTAGAACTAATGGCTAGAGACAATTGGTAACAGTTCAGAGTGGTTGTCAATGGCGCGAAAACATTCACTCATTTGTGGAGCTCACATATCTTTTACGTCCCCATGCTTTTTCTACGTTACTATTCTTTCTTCTTCCCGTATATTTCCACTCAGCATAGTTCTTTTGAGTTTGTTTCCCTCCTTTCTTTCAGGGGGGGGGGTTGGTCACTTGAAATGGTGCACTTCTGTGCAAAGTTCTACGTTGAAACTCTGTCAGTCAGTAATTCTGGAACATTGGTATACCTACCGTCGGTGTCCAACAATCGTTATATTTCTTGACCTAAAGGCAGCATTCTATTTTGTCGACTGAGAGATACTATGGTGATGCTTGGCTGTAAAGGGAATGCCGAGAAAATACATTGCACTGACCAAGGCACTCTCATTCTACTCGAACTCATGCAGCCAGCCAGGTGAGAGCTTACAGCGAGTTGTCATCTCAAGTAGTGACAACTAGTGGTATCCGTCAGGGATGCTAGCCCACTATCTACATTTCTATTCAATTTCATCATAGATGTACTAATGGAATTAACCCTAACTGCTGACTTCAGCAATTCAGGGATTGACCTATTACCAGGGAATAATCTCGTTTGCTTAGAATATGCAGATGAAATAGTCCTCCTAGGTGGGGTGAAGACGCTGACAAAACTGAGCAGAGGCTTCTGAACACCTTGAGCTGAGCAGCAATCTTCGAATGTTTGGCATGCGATTCACTCCCGCCAAATGTAAGATGATGCTACAGGACTGGACTACATTGACTCATTCCTAGCTTAAAAGTAGGAAGTGAAGTGGTGATCCCCTCACTTTTTTGGGGAATTGCATCAGCCAGTGCCAACGGGTTGAACGCTGACTAAATCTCAGCACGGATACAGAAGGCTCGTTTCGCATATACCAATTTACATCGTCGCTGTCGTAGACGTGATATCCGGCTGACTGTCAACCAAAGCGCGTGTGTACTGCTCATCAGTCCCCTCCGTCCTCCTTTATGGCTGGCTGTGAGACATGGCCATTGAAAGTGGAAGACACGAAAAGACTAGCTGTTTTTGATCATAGGTGCCTGCGTTCTAACTCCCGTGTGAAGTGGTATAACAGGGTGAGCAATATTGAGGTTAGTCTTCTGTTGAGTGCTAGGTAAGGAGAGGAAATCAATCGACAAGGCTGTGAAGCTACTGCATCGACTGAGATGGTTAGGACATGTGCCACGCATACCTGCCTAGTCATCGCCTTCATCGACAACAGGCAATGTTAACTGACATAGGGTCAGGTTGAAAAATAGCCAGTGGTGGTCAAACCAAAACATGGCCTCATCAGTCAATGAAATCCACAACAGTTAGTTTAAGCCAGTCACGTAGGAAGGTGTAGACTTCCTGGTTGGGATCCTCGGGATGGTTAAAACCAATGAAAGCTGGAGACAGTTGGGGATATGGCTCAAAGTGATTGTTCTCAATGGCTGGCTGGCACAGATGCATCCACTCTTTGTGATTTATAATTCCCAATGAAACTATATTGTTCTTCGTTATTACTATTCCTTCTGTTTACTGTCTCTATTTTGCAGCGTGTTTATTCTGTTGTTAGTCAAGTTTACATATTAAGATCACTTAGAGAATCACTGAAAACCAGGAAGTACTGAACAACACTCTCCATTTTAGTGTGAGATCGATCCCATGAGGCATAGAAACTCAGGACCTTCAAGTTATCAGCTTGGTAAACTGACTGTTGAAGTACTTACTGGCTTGGAGTTAAATGACTCACACACTGTAACTTCTGTTACACTTTGTGGCATAGCACCAATGTCATTCAATATAATCATCATCAGCAAGTACCTAGATCTTAAAGCTAACATGTTGTTGGTGGTCCTACACAGTATACCATCACCAGCGAATGATGGGACTCGAACCTATTATGATTATGATTCCCTTGGGTTCCTAGTGGAACATAGGGCTTCAACTACACGTCTCCACTGGCTTCTGTCTTCTGTTGTATTTTTCACCTGCATCCATGTTAATCCATACTGTTCCAACTCTTCTTCACACGATCTTCTCCATGTCACCCTTGCACCGACGAACCACTCACCGCTTCCCTTTCGGGTTCCACTCGAGCATTGGCCTGACGCACGATGTCACCCAACGGCCTCCTCAACGAGTGTCCAATCCATCTCCACTTTCTCCTGCATATTTGTTGAGCGATTGGTTCTTGTTTTGTTTGTTCCCATAGTTTCTTGTTGGTTCTTGTTCTTTTCGGCCATCTGATCTTCAGTATAGAACGAAGACAGTTGTTGATAAAGGTCTGCAACAGGCTGTTGGAAATATTCTTTGTGACCCGCCGCCAAGTTTCTGATCCGTATAGAAGAACTGACTGACTTGACGTTTGTATTGAAAATCCGAATTTTGTTGTTGGTGCTGAGTGACGAAGATTTCCAGATTGGTTTCAGGTTGATGAATGTGTTTCTCTCCTTCCCGATTCTCGATTTGACATCCTCGTCCGTTCCTCGTGTAGTTGAGACAATGCTCCCTAGATAAGTGAAAGAAGTAACCTCTTTCAAATCCCTCCCGTTGACGGTGATTGGCGCTGGATGTTGCTGCTGTTGTTGTTGTTGGTTGGTTGGTCATTTTCATGACCTCCGTCTTGTCTATGTTCACCTGCAGTCCTGTCTCCTCTGGCTGCTTCTTCGACCAGTTTGTCGGTTTTCGCTTGTAAGTCTTCGATTTTGTGTGACCTCAAACATAAATCATCCACGCGCGAAATCCAGGTCTTCTAGGTTCTTCACGTCGGTCTAGGATATCCCTGTCTTCTCGTTTCGCACTGTCTGACGCATAATCCAGTCCACCACAATTAGGAATATCATTGGTGATAATAAGCACCCTTGTCTAACTCCTGTGTTTACTCGAAACGCCTCTCTGAGTTTTCCGTTGTGGATCACTTGACATGTGCTGTTGTCGTACAGCTGTTGAATAAGGACTCGAACCTAGAATGAGTTTATTATCATATTGAATTCCAGCTTTTTTTTTAACTTGAAAAATTATCCGGAGGTGTAAAGAGGATCAAAAATGCGCTTAATTGGCAAAAAGACATTATTGATATACATATATATATATATACATATATATATATATATTTATAAATTTATAACTTACTTTTTTAAATGACATTGAAGACTTTAAACCATATCCACGATTAACAGTACGCATAACGCTAAATATATTCTTATGTCGATCGGTAGTCATTGAATGCAGTAGGGCAAATCGTCGATTACCACAATTTACATTCTCTGGAAATGAACAAATCTTTGATGTACATTCATATTTATTCAAGAAATGATGACATTGATGACTAGTTGAGCATAAAACATTGTTGTTTAAATTGTCATCATCATCACCATCTCCATTACCCAGGGTAGAAGATTTACACGAGCATACAGTAAGTGATTCATACACTGTTTTTATATCTTCAAGCTAAGGGGAGAAAAAGACAAGTGAGGAGGAAAAGAAAAGAAAGGAAAAACAGAAAAATTAAGTATGTCACCCTGTTCAGTATCCTATTTTCTAAATTTCCAACGGAGTATTTAGAAAAGTCTCAACACTATATGACTACAACTGCATGTCTATATTGAACTATGTATTATAATAGAAGTACAGGGCATCAAACGTACAGTGTTATGTGCGTGGGGATATAGTTGAGTTAGTGGGCAGAGTTCAACTTTATACATCCAAAAGGCGCAGACACAATAATGCCCATGAAAAGACCAATTGTGCTAAGAAAAACAAAACAAATTTGGTCCCCTAACTCAAATCTATCCCCAGGTTATGTGATTTGCCGGCATATGGAAAACCAGGTTTTCAATGACCTCTCTCTCTCTCACACACTAATGTTGGTTCGCGACGAAATCCGACAACTGAAATAAGTCGATATACCCACGAATCTCATAGTTGGAATATTGATCTCCAACTCATAGATGGGTATTCAAGTATTGTTGTTTGTAGGGATTTGGTTGATTGGTTACAGGATTTCATCATGAGCTGATATCAGCTAGAGAACCATTGGAAAACCAGCTGGGAGTACTGGACAACTGTTTCCGTCGTCCTGATTTGGGACTCTTCATCAGTACGCACCCACCGGGGTTCGAAGCCAGGACCTTCTGGTTACAAACCAACACTTGAATATCGATGAGATGCTCACCAGCGACTAGAACTATTCAGGTAGTTAGTTACCTGAGGTTCTAGTGAGAAGTCGTGACCAGTAGGGTGCAGTAGGTCGGGTGTGAGGACAAATACTAGCCGAAGACATTGGCTAGTGGTTGCGCTATGTCATGAATTGGCAGAAGTTAGAATTCATGGGCTCGCCATTGAGGAGTCGGGTCCCAGTGGCTTAACGGTCTACGAGATCGCTAGCCTTGTAACCAGAAGTTCCTGGCTTCGAACCCAGGTGTGTGCGTACATCTGAAGAGTCCCATACTAGGACGAAACAGCTGTCCAGTACTCCCTGCAGGTTTTCCAATGGTCCTGTAACTAATGTCAGCTCATGATGAAATCCTGCAATTATTGATGGGTGCTAGACGGATGTCTAAAAGTGGGTGGGTGTTCATTAAATGCAGTGCTTGACAGTATTAATATATCTCAAATTGACAAAGCTAGAATTCCAATCTAAGTGATAGAATGTTCAAAAAGTTTGATCCCGATGTCTCTAAAGCTCAACTTCGCAAATTAGCACAGAGAAACTTCCTCTACCAAAAACACACCAGTTTAACTTCATACATATGACATATGAAGGAGATCACATGATATGTGAAGAGGAAATTATATCAAGTCATCTAACTTACTAACTCAATCTTACTTTATAAATTATTCATATATATTTTTATGACTAATAAAAATCCGAATAAATCTGCTGAAGTAGCTGTGGCTTACACAGCGAAACGTTCAGAAAACAGATCTTGTTTCGATTTTCTTAAACACGCTGGGATTAATTTCAATAATTTATAATGAATCAATCTGACTCGGCGCTCAAATTATTCTAGGAAGTTCGTAACACCTGCGGTTTAGAAACTTACAATCTTGCTTTAGTTGCTGTCTAATTAACCTTGTTTCTATATTAACTAGATCATCCTTGTATTACCTAATTAATTATCTAAACTTGACAAACCTCATGTACACACACACACACAAAAGTAATTATAAATTAATGTACAGAGCTATGTGAATGAATTCACCGTCGAAAAGAGCTTCTTCGCTGAACATCCCCTCTCTTTTTCATATGATGATGAGAAGCCAACGAAATAAACACTGTACAAATACCAGTTTAAGTTAGAACAAAGAGAAGAAGAAACAAGAAGGCTGAGAAGTAGTCATACTCAAAAAGCACTCAAAAGGCACGGTAACTTAAATTGGTAGATTTTTCACACAGACAACACAATTATACACGCACACCAGGTTACAGTTTTTCTCATGAACATCATACATAGCATAGATACAACCAGAGCATGAATAACTCAATAATAATAATAATAATAATAATAATAATAATAATAAGAGCAATAAATAACAATATATTATAAAGAAGTAAACTTACCTTCAATAAACATTCATCAGAATAAATATTACTTTTAATTAGTGTAATACTCTTTAGAACAGTTGCTAATTGATTATCTTCTTCTTTTGTATTTCCTTTCGAACTGATTTTTGAATGCATATTGAATGCATCTAAGGGGAGTAATTCATTCTCGGGTAATTGTTCAGCATGCATTGAATTCAGTGGGAGACCACGACGTAGGACATGATTCACATAGATTGCATGCGCTTTCGGTGCACGATGTAATGCTATGTTGTTTTTTATGGTTTTTTGAATATAGGACATATGAAGTAATAAAATAATAAAGTGACATTAGAAAATGTAGATTACAGATTTGTATAATCAATGATAATAATAATGATAATAATTAGAAGTGAATTGGTGGATGGTGACTAGCAGTGGAATCCATAAGGATGAGCATTTCGTCCTATTTGGGACTCGTCAACTGGATGTGCCTGCATTCCGCAGCGAGTGATGATGTTCCCACCACCGAGGCTCGAACCCAGTGCGCAAAGTTTCAAACGCCAAAGCGTCGTTATCCACTAGACCATAACTGGGCCACAAGATCCACCTCTTGAATTGAATAATAATAAGAATAATAATGATCTCTCACTGGCACTTCACCACCAAGTGTCAATATGAGCACTGAGTAGCGGTTACACTAACATTTATCTGTATTACCTTCCTTTCGTGCTATTCACTCGTCAAAATAACATTGAGTCATCCTAATAATATAGATAATAGGCCCACTACTACTACTACTTGCTAATGTGGTTTCACCTTTCCTATTGGTTGTTATTGCCTTTGCTTCCATTTTGAACGCCATCTGCTGTATACAAGTGAAGGTATATTCACTCACTCTCTCGCTCTCTCTCTACACACACACACACACACACACACAACACTATGAATACTTTACAAATGAACCTATCAGATATTATAGATCAATCCACCTGGGGAGCTGTCAATAGGACTGGAAAGTGTGATTTCCCCACACACCCTCTTTATCTCCCCAGTATTTAATCACGCGATGACGATTGCGTGTATTCCCTTTTGATAATATACAAATATACATATATATATATATATATTTACATGGAGGATTTCATCATGAGCTGATATCAGTTAGAGAACCATTGGAAAACCAGCACTGAAGTACTGGACAGCGGTTTCGTCCTGGTTTGGGACTCTTCAGCAGTACGCGCCCACCGGGATTCGAACCCAGGACCTTCCGGTTACAAGGCGAGCTCGTAGACCATTGAGCCACTGGGACCCGGTCCAATGGCCTGTCCATGAATTCTAACTTCTGCCAATTCACGACATAGCGCGACCATTTCGCAATGTCTTCTTAGATGAGTTACTGTCACATCTTCAACCTGCTGTACCCTACTGGTCACGGCTTCCCACTAGAACCCCAGGTTAACTGCCTGAATAGGGCCAGTCACTAGTGAGTCAGTGTATTGCTGTACCCTTGGAGGGACACACATACACGTAAAGGAGAGACTACGGTCACATTTGAGATCTGTCTGAGTGGTTATCCTGAATCTAGGATTATACTATAAGTATTGTAATATTAATATGATAGGCAAAGTTAAACTTTAGGCAGCACTAACTACCACCTACCAATCAGCAAAAGACCTCGAACTGACCAATCACGTGACGGAGGCATTTTTGTGTATGGAATACATGTATTTATGAGAAAAATGCATAAAAACTGCACAAAAGTGTTAGAGAGGATACCTTTCTCTCACATGTGATAAAAGTAGCTCTCAGTTTTAGGTTGGTGTATCAACAGAGTATAACTCCATTGTGGGAAAAATTTATTTTGATAAAATCACAGTGTAATACAGTGATATTTACAGGGCAATAAATTGGACTCGAAACTTCACCTGTAAATATTACTGTATAACAGCGTGAGAATTAATCAAAATAAATTTTACCCACAATGGAATTATACTCTACCACAGTGCACAAGTCCTGTTTTTTATATCAAAAGAGTAATTTAACCACATTCTATGCATGTCGGTCGGTCGGTCGGTCGGTTTTCGACATAGAACTTTGCACCGATGTGCGGCAGTTCAAGTCGCCACACTCCATGTAGCACAAAAGCAACAGAAGAAAGTAGGAGAAATGCATAATATAGACAGTAAACAGAGGTGTGAGACAAAAGAATAGTAATAACGAAGAACAAAAGTTTCATTGGAAATCATAAGTCACAAGGAGTGGATGCACCTGCGCCACTGAGAACGATTTTGAGCCATGTCACCAATTGTTTCCAACCATTGGTTTTTACCGTCCCGAGAACCCCAACCAGTCAGGAAGTCTACACCTTCCTACTTGGTCTAGACTAACTTGTAGGTTTCATTTACTGGTGCCATGTTTTCATTTGACCGCCACTAGCTCTTTTCCAGCCTGGCCCTATATCAGCTAACATTGCCCGTCCAGGAAGGCGATGACTAGGCATACGTAACACATGTCCCAACCATCTCAGTCGATGTAATTTCACAGTTTCGTCGACTGATTTCCCCGCCTTACCTAGCACTAGACGCCTAACCTCAATATTGCTCACCTTATTATACCACTTCACACGCGAGGGCAATAGAACGCAGACACCTATGATTGAACACAGATAGTCTTTTCATATCTTCTGCTCTCAATGGCCATGTCTCACAGCCATAAAGGAGGACAGAGCGGACTGTTGAGCAGTACACACGCCCTTTGGTCGATAGTCGGATGTCACGTCTACGCCAGAGACGGCGTAAACTGGCATATGCATGTAATTATTTAGGTCTTCTAACCAATACTTGAGAATAAAAAAATACCTAACTGACAAGTTCAATAGACAGATTAAGGCGGAAGAAAGCTAAACCTAATTGACATAAATGCCAAAAGTAGCGTAATAGTTTGTGCGTAAACATATAGGAGAGAAAAAAGATTCATGGGCTTTGCTTGCACTGGAATTTATGGCCACTAGATAAGATCAGACAATAGAATTTATTATAACAAAGTGCATTAAGGACATAATTAAGTGCATAGTTGATTTAATTCTAACATTTTATAAAACGTGCACGTACTACTACGACTACTCTGAGTAGTGGTCAATATTCAAAAGAAGGTTTGAACACAAAAGAAAAATAAATTAAAAATGCAATAAAATAAAGTTAGTTGTTTGATAGGAAGACTAAATGAGATAGTTCCAAATGTAAATTTCTTCAGAGAACCAATATCACAGTCAGAGATCAGTGAAAACTGGACATCAGTCCTAGTTTGCAACTTTTCAACAGTACGCACTCACAATAGTTTGAACCTGAAACCTTCAGATTATGAAGCCCCAATTTCGTTGATCATTCCGACAACATCAAATGACCGGTAGAAAAGGCTATGTGCAAAAAGGAATTCTAGGTAAAAGAATAAAAATTGTGCACCTCATGACCCGTGTCAAGGAGATGCCTGGTGATGCCACTGTTTAAAGCATTTGTTCTCTTTACACATAAGCGTTTTGCTACATGTTCAGAAAATCGTAGATATGCGTATATGATGGACGTCACAAGATCGTTTAAAATTATCAGTAGGCAAAAGAGTTCAATTCTACTCAAGTTTGCTGAAGCCATCTCCATCAGGCGTCTGAAACCTGATTTATGCGTTCAGAAAGAAACAGTTATCAATTTTTCTTTGCCCATCCTGGTAACTGGATATTTTCACCTATCTTTCATCTGACCACGTAATGTCGAAAGTTTCCATTGTGTATGATCATTATTGTTGGTTAATTGATTTTTGTTTAAAAATGAACTCTGAGCAAGTATGTTAAAATTGTTTCTGTAGATATACTTAATAATGACTTTGGCCTATAAGCAGCTGAGCTGATGAGAAGCCAACGAAATAGACAATGTGATGGTACCATTTTTTAATCTGCAAAAACCACTGTTGTTCCTGCTTTATTCAAATTCATTAAGGGGAATAAATGTATGAAAATCAGTGAAGTTCGATTTGATATGTATGTGTCTTACAGGGTGTATTTATTGGATAATCGCATATTGACTGTGGTATAAAGATTGACTAACAGTCATTGTAACAGTGACTGGAGTAAGGACAACACACTAATACATATATATATATGTCTGGATTCAACATAGAACTTGGCACCGAAGTGCAGCAGTTCGAGTTGCCACGTTCCAAATAGCACACAAAGGTAGACAGGAAAATGAGAGAAGAGAATCAATAGAATTTAGATAAGTATAAGGGTGACACAGAATGAGTAATGGTAGAAAGGAATATGAAGGTTAAAGAGACTGAATACATCTGCGCAAGTCACTGGCAACGATTTTGAGCCATGTCACCTATTGTCTCCAGCCATTGATTCTTAGAGTCCCGAGGGCCCCAACCCGGAAGTTTGCATCTCTCTACCTGACTCAGTTTAACTGTCAGGGATTTCATGGATTGATGTCATGTTTTTGTTTGGCCACCACTTACTCTTTTCCAACCTTCACCTATATCAGCTAGTAATGCCCGTCGGGGGAGACGATGGTTAGGCATGGGCAGCACGTGACCTAGCCATCTCAATCTATGTAACTTTATAGCCTCTTCAATTGATTTTCCCTCTTTGCCCAACTCTCTACGCCTAACGTCAACATTGCTTACCTTATTATACCACCTAACGTGAGAAAGAGATCGTAGACATCTATGATTAAAAACAGTCAACCTTTTCATGTCTTCAACTCGTATCGGCCATGTTTCAGAGCCATAGAGAAGGACGGAGCGAACTGCTGAGCAGTACACACGTCCCTTGGTTGATAGCCGGATGTCACGCCTACGCCAGAGATGGCGTAAGTTAGCGAAAGCAGCTCGAGCTTTTTGGATCCGTGCTGAGATTTCGTCGATATATATATGTATATGTATATATATATATATATATATATATATATATATTATTAAGACACGAACTTGTCACATTATGGGCACCAAGAGATTTGGCAGACAAAATCGCATAGTTCGTACAACGGCTGGAATACTGCCCGGATATCCAGACTAAGGAAGCAGGTGGTTGTCTTAAGGGACGAAGTTAAGGTACTATAGCCAAAGTCAGAGTCTGTCAAACGTTGACCTTCAAGAGCCAATCCAATCTAGGACAAGCTAAAAAACGTCTTTCCAAAACAGACCATGCCTGTCTTCATGGATTCGGTGAATGAGTTCCATAAAGACCGAGTATTTGATTACTATGTCCATAACGCATTATTTGGAGTCAAAGACTTGTGTGTGTGTGTGTATGGAGGGAAAGGCAGGGTGGGAGAGTACATTAAGGCAATATAACCTTGTTGGAGATAAATATTGCCAAACACGCAATTCATGCTATAAGAGAGAATTCGTTAGTGAGGGTAGGTACAGTATTTTGCTAATTGCATAAGTACGTTTTGCACCAAATTTAAACATTCTTTGTCAGATTATCCTACGGTTCATGTATTATTGGATTTCGCAAAGGCCTGCAGGGAGAGCAGCAGCGAAGACGGAAAACAACCTGGTCTCTACAGTACAATGGTATCAGCATTGTTGAGCACGTAGCATCATGGAATCTAGAGACGATTACCACTTGCCTCAGAGCAGTAGAAGTTACCGATCATACTGATGAAACTGTCGTGATAAAGAAGCATAATAGAGGAGACAGAAGAGCTATTCTACTTAGAGCGCTTGGAATACATGCATCGCGTATGGTAAGCTCTCTCTCTCTCTTTCTCTGGGAGACATTTTCGCAACACACAACAGGACACCATCCATTGTGATGTCCTGTTTGCGACGTTTTTAATACATTTTTTAACGATTAAGGGACTTTTCTGTATTTAAATTCTCTTCGGTTGTTTACGGTCACTGCGATTTTGGCTATCATACTTTGACTTCACCTCTTAAAAGACTAACGGCTGAGTCATCGAATTAAAATCTGATCTACAAGTTAGTGAAGCAGCGACATAAGCTACGTTCCCATGGCTTTCGATGACTAAAACAGGTACATATATCATGTGATCCTATCGGATTCTGCAGCCCATGTGTTTTCCACCAATCCGTTTGTAAGCGCCAGAAGTTGGCATACACCCTTGCAATTAATCGATTAATTTTTGTAGATGTGATACAATCTTAGCTTTTAAGTACTTTTAAACTCTCAATCTTAACTAAGACTTTAGCCTTACGAGGCAACTACTGGTTAGGATGGATCATGAACTCCTTACACAGAATCACATAGAGTCTAGTGAATGAAAAATTTATACCGTGTAACTTAACTATTATTAGTTAAATCTGAAAGTGAAGAGACTTTTGACTACCAAAACATAAGGATGATATAGATAGCGCTTTTATCTCACTTTGAAATTCTATAAGAATATAAGTTCTATTTTAATTAGATCCCATAGCTATATTGAGTTCCTTAATCCATCTCTATGTGGAAGTAGCGAGTGTGATAAGAGTAATCATGATGCGACTAAATAAAGTCGAATGGTCTCACAGTACAAATCAATAATTACTTACTACACTTTATAGTGAAGATCAATTTACACAACAAAAAAAATGAATTTTCATAAATTGATAATTATAAGTGCACTACACTCATGGTGCAATTGAAAATACATTCCAATGAACTGTTTAAATGAGTGCTTATTTTTAATTAGATAGATTGATAAGTCAGCTCCTTGTACGAATGCTTCAACAATGTTTGAGGATTATTGCTTGAAGTGATTTGGTGGGATCCAGGATGTACATTCCGGCTGTCCTATTTGGGGCTTGCCATCTGGATGTATCTGTATTCCCCAGTAACTGATGGTGTTTCTGCCGAGGCTCGAACCTAGTTCCTATAGTTTTAAACGTCAAAGCGTTATCCACAAGACTACTTGGGCCATGAGAGGCCGGATTTTTAGGTCCAATCAATTAAAGGGAAAATCAAAATTGAATTAAAAATAAACAGTAACTGATACCTGTTCTATAAAAGGTGACTCTCATGGTCCAAGTGGTCTAGTGGCGTTTGAAATGATGGGTACTGGGTTCGAGCCCAGTCAGGAACACCATCACTCACTGAGGAATGCAGGTACGACATCTGACGAGTCCGAAATAGGCCAAAACGCACATCCTGGATTCGACCACAGCTAGTCACCATCCACCAAGTTACTTCATGTTTCAATGGGTGTTTTGTTAGTTGCCCTGTAGCCACTTACGACAACCACTGCCACAAATGAAACTGCATAAAAGTGATGTATATTCACCGAATTGTTAATTTGACCGATCGATATGTCAGATACAATTCCTTTTTCTGATACTGAAGATTTCATTTCTATCCTCATAAACGGATCGGTACAGCTGAGAGTGGGACTTTGTTTAGTCTTCCTCTCGAAATCGTCTCATGTGGACAAGCGTTCATAGCCTAGCTACCTCTGCAACGACAGTCCTATTCGCTGCCTTCATGTGGCGATCGCGATATTCCTTGCAAAAGTGAAAAGGCGAGTGCGACCGTCTTGGTGCTTACACAACAGGACTGGTGGATATGATGATGCACCTAGGAAGCTGGAAACTCTGATTTAATAGGAAGTGGCTAAAATCGTGATCAGCATTTTAAGCCAATGGTTGCAGAGGTATATATTATTTTTTAAATCTGGATTTAATTTATTATGTGGACATGATGACCTCATCGAATGACCTTGGAACTTATTGCATAACCTTTGACCAATTTATATGATAGGTTTTTCATTAATAAATGTGTCCTTACTCAGGCGAGTCTTTGTCTTCGGATAATTGTGTGACTTAGTAAAGCCGAAGGTACTAAGGACAAATTTTTTTATTCCTTTACATTCCCAGTGGAACATAGGGGTGACTTCAAGCTACAGGCTTGAAGTGTCGGTAGCAGTGGAGTTTATTTTTTACGGGATGGGGTTGCTAGCCTCATGCCCTCGGCCTTCCCTCTTTACCAGTTTTATTACTGACTTAGCGAGGTAAAGGAGTGCATCGGCCACGGATTGAACCCCGGACCACATGAGGCGTGGTTGGCGAGCATTCTACCACTGTGCCACCGATGCACTAAGGACAAATAATCGTACCTAGCATTCAGTGGTGTCCATTGCGTTCAGCGTCACTATTATCCACGTATACATCGACTAGGTCATATCACTTGATTCCAAACCTGTACATGGGATCCAGAATCAAAAACAGATGGAATGACATATAAACCTATTTCGATCATCGAAAACCATGAGAACGTCGTTCTCGACGCTGCCTGACTACTTCCTTGTGGGTCAGACATCAGGTCAAAGGACAACAGGGAGAGTAGCCCCTTAAGACAGCCAACCGCCTGCTCCAGCAGTCTGGGCTTCCACTGACTGGTTTCAACATAGAACTTTGCACCATTGGGCAGCAGTTCAAGTCACCACACTCCCTCCATGTAGCACACAAAGCAAGAGAAGAAAGTAAAAAGAAATGCAAAACAGAGACAGTAAACAGAGATATGAGGCAAAAAGAATAGTAATATCGAAGAATAATATAGTTTCATTGGAAATTATAAGTCACAAGGAGTGGATGCATCTGCGCCAGCCAGCCATTGAGAACGATCACTTTGAGCCATATCACCAATTGTCTCCAGCCTTCATTGGTTTTTACCGCCCCGTGGACCCCAACCAGTCAAACAGTCTGCACCTTCCTACGTGGCTTAAACTAACTGTTGTGGATTTTATTAACTGATGAGGCCATGTATTGTTTTGATCACCAATGGTTCTTTTCCAACCTAACCCTATGTCAGCTAACACTGCCCGTCGGGCGAGGAAGGTGATGGCTAGGCAGGTATGCGTAACACAAGTCCTAACCATCTCAATCAATGCAGCTGCTTCACCACCTCGTCTACTGATTGTCCCTCCTTACCTAGCTCTCTATCGAAGCCTAACCTCAATACTGCTCACCTCACTATACCACCTAACATGGGACATGAGATATAACGCAGACACCTATTATCAAAGACAGTTAGCCAGACTTTTCATGTCTTCAACTCTGGGCTTGCAGACTCTATATCAGTCAGCCTCATGAAACTTTGTGTGTGTGTGTGTGTATGTAGCATCTCTCTTGGTGAGCATAACAATGTACTAAGTTTGTATTCTCACGAATAAATCGATAACTCATTCATAGTTGCATAATAGGAGTAACTGTTTTAGTTTTTGAAATTATACAATTCATTTACCGAACAATTCATGTTTAGAAGAAAATTTTTAAAACTTTAAAAAAATCTACATAAACTGATCATAAATTGAAAATAATGTAATTCTATGGCTTAAACAAATAAACACCTTCACCCTTTACTTTAAAAAGAAAAATTTTTCTTTTCTGTCTTCACATTTAAAAAACTTACATCGTGAAAAAGCTGCTTCAATTTTATTTGAAGAATGCGTATCTTTAGCCGCTGGAGTTTGTAAGCCAATTTCATAGGGGAATACACGACCACGATTAAGCCATTGATATTCTTCAGAGGCAAGAAAATGCACTGGAAAGGAACCTTCTGGATGTGACATATTTAAGATATTGATAGGAGCATTTCGTGCGTGGATTATTTCACATGGCCACCAACGAAAACGTGCTATTTTTGCCCAAATAATTTGAGCATATCTTGGGAATACACCTTGTCTAAAAGGAGATAAAAAAAGATTATGTGTATGTATGTATTAAACATTAACATTGGCAATTCATACGAATGCGTCAGTAGTAGAATACTCGGCAACTAACTCTCCAGTAATATGAGAGTTCTATTTGCCGCTGATGCAATCCTAAACTACGTGCGCCTAACTGGTAGTGAGCCCAATAAAAAAAAGCAGTGATCGAATACGCAACTTGGAGAGGTTGGGTTCCATAGGCGTAGAGGTAGACTGACCGCACCCAAGCGTTGTAGATCTAATCTTTGACAACCAGGCTGACATCACGATGGCCTCAGAGGTAAGCCTTACTGGCGGTTAGCGATTTCATCTGTTGTACCTCCGCCAGCACTCCCCACTTACATAACTGCCCAGATACACAGACTTGTCGAAAAATCAAACAGCTGAGACGCCAAGTTATCAGCAAAATCATTATCAGGAAGTTATGAAAAAAAGAACAAGGGTGGACACTGAAGAACAGCAACAACAATAGTGGCAACAAACTCACCGACAAGATCGACACACAAATTTGTCATCAGTGAAAGTTCCAAATGAAGGCTGCAGACAATCTTTGTGATAGGTAGTTGGACAGTAGTGACAGTCAATCTGTGATTTTAAAAAGAAACAAACAGAAAGGTAAGGTAGAACGGGTTCATTTTTGTCGCCTCCAATGTCAGTATCAAACAATTCTAACTGAATTCCAGCATAGGACTTTGCACAGAAGTGCATCAGGTGAAGTTGTCACTCTCCATTTAGCCCGCAAAGGTACACAAAGGACAGAAATTCAAAAGAACCATAATAAGCAGAAATGTGAGGAAGAAAGAATAGTAACATAAAAGCAAACATAAGGACTTAAAAGATACGCGCGCGGGATCAGAGAGTTAATGCATCTGAGCCATATCACCAATAATCTCTAGCCATGGGTTGCTAAGCATCACATGAACTTCAACCAGAGTCTGCATCTCCCTACGTGGCTCAAACTAGCAGTCAGCGACATTATGGATTACTGCTGCATTTCGGTTTGGCCAGTCACCATTTCAAACTCAACCCTACACATCGGCTAAGACTGTTCGTGAATGAAGGCGGTAAATAGGTATATGTGTAGCATGTGTCCTAGCCATCTCAACCAATTATCACTCACAATCTAGTCGATTAACTTCTCTTCTTTTCTCAGCACTCTACGCTTGATTTCAATAATCCTCAAAATATTACACCAGTTAACACCTTAAGCAGAATAAAGAGCGAACATCTAATGGAATCATATGCTTACCGATTACATTAATTCTATCAATGCAACTGACGAAGTCAAAAGTGTTCAAAAGACTATGTTTACATAGATTTGATTTTACTGGTCCAAAGAATTCAGCGAGCAATTTGGCTGTAGAATAATGAGGGAAGTTCAGCATATTCAGCATTGGTCGCAGGTGGACACCATCTTTATGCACCTTAGGAAGACCATAAACATAGTGGGACATATGATTTCATTAGATGTTTGCTCTTTATTTACAAATTTACCATTAGTAAAAACTATTTGTTGTCTGTGTGATTATATCAACCTAAAATGCATAAACAATGGGGTGCCAACTAACTATCTGAAGCAGCTTTTATAGAGATGCGTGCCAAATGAGGGATGGAGTCGCACCATGAGGTCCCCATTAGGACGCTTCCTAGCGGATGTCCTCATGGTGAGCTTAGAGAGTGGTCCATTGAAAGGAACAATCTCCAGTCTGCATATGTATAGGCGATATATTGACGACACCTTCATTATTTGTGATGACAATTGTTTAACTGCCGAGCTTCTTGGAAAATTCACTGGTTCTCACCCATCTATGCTTTTCGCCATCGAAAAAGAGTCGAATTCCGCATTTCACTTCTTCGACGTGATGCTAAATGTGAGAGAGGATAGCACATTGAAAAGGTTGATTTATTGAAAGTCATCACCAAAAGGGCAGTACACTAACCTCTAGACAGGAAAAGAAATCTTATCCGTTCTCTAAGCTTCAGAATTCGGAAAATTTGCTCTATAGACAAGGTTGACAAAGAACTAGAAAACCTTCATACAACTGTCTTAAATAATGGATATCCTAGAAGGTTTATCGACAGAAATATCAAGAAAGAAACCGTCCCCAGCCAAATCATAGTACTATTTATGAGTTTGGCGTTCGAAAGTGACATTATTGATGAAGTGATTAACAGTCGTTCATCTAAATGTTGTATTAAAAGCTGTTTTTATGCATCTGACTTACATTTAGTATTTACTAGCCGAAATATGATTTGACAATGCACCGAGGAAAAAACTACCACGTATATATCCACCTCTATGTGCATATACTCATTCACATGCTGGTATGGGGCTGATTACATTGGACGTTGTGAGCGTGTTCTCCTTAAACGCGTAACTGAACACTACCCAGTTTGGTTAATGAATGATGAGCAAAGGATGACAAAGTCTTCAATCTGTGAACACCTACTGGAGCCGGGTCATTCATTCCCACGCGATTTATCCTTCAAAGTTATTTACAGGACCGAATCCAACCACTCCAAAAGGTCACGTCTTATGCAAAGTTACTTATGCACAGCCAACGTTCTAGTTAAATAGATTGAGATGGCTAGGTCACGTGCTGCGCATGCCTGACCATCGCCTCCCCCGACGGGCATTACTAGATGATATAGGTGCAGGTTGGAAAAGAGTAAGTGGTGGCCAAACAAAAACATGGCCTCATCAATCCATGAAATCCTTGACAGTTAAACTGAGTCAGTTAGGGAGATGCAGACTTCCGGGTTGGGGCCCTCGGGACTCTAAGAATCAATGGCTGGAGACAATAGGTGACATCGTCAATGGTGCATATGTATTCAGTCTCTGTAATCTTTCATATTCTTTTCTACCATTACTCATTCTGCTTCACTCTTATACTTGTCAAAACTCTATTGATTCTCTTCACTCATTTTCTTGTCTACCTTTGTGTGCTATTTGGAACGTGGCAACACGAACTGCTGCACTTCGGTGCCAAGTTCTATGTTGAATCCAGACAGACAGACAGACAGGACGTTCTAGCTATACATGGACAAAAACCTAAATTATGTGTTTAAAAACGTTTTGTTGAACCCTTTTTTTCTACTTTGATCATAGTTTACCACTTGAATACATTCCATTTCGCTTCACCTTCGCAGTCTTTAACCGTTATCATCATAGTACTCTTAATTTTTTAAACAACACTTGACCTACAACTTTAAAATCTTAGTACCAGTTGGCTAATTTAATTATCTTTAAAAGTTTTATAATTCGTCCACTTCAACTTCACCCCTTGGTAGTACATCATTTTAATTATCTTTATTCTTATTATATATGCAATATTGACCACTGAGCAATTTCTAGTGCCACTCAATTCCCAAGTCGCTAAAACCGACTAGGGTCATATCCATTAGTACATCTATGGTGAAATTAAACAGAAATAAGATATAGTGAGAATCTCTGATGGACATCACTTGGTGTCGTTACTTCAGATGACAACTCTTCGTACGCTATTACACGGCTGACTGTATTCAAACAGAGTAGTACCTTGTTAATGTCAACATCATAAGTCGTCTAAACTCACTCAAATTTGCCTGCACACAAGTCGAAAAAAATGTAATTACTTCATCAAATTATTTAGCTGACCGGTTGAAATTCACCTGCATATATACCACTTGAAACACAATAAAAGAAGTTAAACTTACACGTTCTCCTGATGGGCGGAAACAATGGAAACACCAATTCGGATGTTGCGTTTTAAAATTTGGTAACGATTGCAGAGAGTCATCAAAGTGTCTAGGACAGACAATATGCGATAGCGAAACTTCAACTGAACCAGCTGGTGTACACAAATCACCGGTATGAAATACTGCTGGACATCTAGAATTAACAATAAAAAAGGATACTCCAGGGAATATAAAGTAAAAATCACTGACGAAATATGTCATATTTTTATACCAGTTATTTGTATACTACTTAAAAGTAGTCACACGAATAAGGGTGGAGTTAATAAAACTGATAATTAGGCATGTGACAAGCGTTTACTAAACTGAATTACAATGGAGAGTAAAAATCCTGCAACTAATTATTATATTTGTATGAGCAGTCAATGTTCAAAAGTAGCTCTGAATATATGGGATCTATTTCTAACCAAACATAGATCAATTAGTACATTCATCAGTAGATTTATGGTGATAAATATCCCTAGAACTCTCACACAACTAATTACCTACTTTATTCCTCGAAGTTCTGGGTGGAAAATGAGGCTTTAGGCTTGAGCTGTAGGGTTTCAGTAGGGTTCCTAGACACACACCAAACCTTTCCCCCCTTACCAGGCTTACTTACCACCGACTGGGAGAGATTTAGGAGTGCAATATATAACTAATAAGGGTCAATTTTAATCATGAATTGACTTCAACTGGAGAACCGATGTGAATCAGGGAGCACTGGACAGCTGTTTTATCCTAGTTCAGGACTCTTCAATAGTACGCACTCATTACCTCATCAACAGAGATCGCACTCGGGACCTACCTTCAGATTACTAACCAACACTGAAAGAATTAGTCTAATGCTCACCAGTGACTGATTATAAGATCATGGCAAAACATGGCTTCGTAAGTCAATGAAATCCATAACATTCAGTTTAAGTGAGTCACGTAGGATGGTGTCGACTTCCTGGTTGGGGTCCTCAGGACGGTAAAAAACAATGAAGGCTGGAAACAATTGGTGATATGGCTCAAAGCGATCGTTCTCAATGATGCAGATGCATCCACTCCTTGTGACTTATAATACCCAATAAAACTTTATTGTTTCTCGATATTACTATTCTTTTTGCCTCATATCTCTGTTTACTGTCCCTGTTCTGCATTTCTTTTTACCTTCTTCGCGTGCTTTGTGAGCTACATGGAGGGAGAGTTGCGACTCGAACTGCTGCATATAAGTGCAAAGTTCTACGTTGAAACCAGTCAGTCAGTCAGTTAGATTATAGCATCAAGCTGTCTGAAATTTAGGTGAGAAGTCATGACCACTGAGGGTCATCACTAGGTTGAGTATGAGGACAAATATTCTTCCATGACATTGATTGGTGTCAGCCGGGCTAAAATCACGAGTTGTTAGAAGTTAAAGGTCATGTGCCATTTAGATTCCACGCCCCATAGGCTGAGTGGTCGACGAGCTTGCCTTGTATAACTTGAAGGTTCTGGGTTCGTTCGCCGGCTAGGTGACGCGTCCGTATGTACAGTTGCAGAGCCCTCAACTACGAAGAAACAGTTGCCCAGTACTCCCACGTATTCCAACAGTTCTTTGACTTATGTCGGCTCGTGATCAATCCTGTGACCAAACGAATCCCTGCAAAGCAACCACTTGACAAACAGGAGACCTGTTCAGTAGGACAATCCTTAGCATACACATACATATATCATCAAATATCTTATTGCACTCAATTTTTCGAACTATTAAGCATCAGTGATCTAGTAGTAGGATACTCGCCAACCATGCATACGTTCCAAGGCCAGATCTCCGACCCACGCATCCCTTAACTTGGCTCACCCAGTAATAAGCTCGGTAAAGAGGGATGGTTGGCTCAAAAAAGGCCAGCGATTCCACCTCGTAAAAGAATTAAAATCCAATGCTACTGAAACCTAAAAACTCAAGCATGAAGCCGTATGTTCCACTCAGAACTCAAAGGAATAAAATAATGATTTAAAAAAAATTAATTTCGATAGAGAAAGAAAGACCAGATTTGCAGTATAAAAGGATATCATCAGTCTATTTCACAGATTCTCATCAACTGCAAACCGCCTGAAATTACAATGGTTATAAATAATAACATTTCATAATTCAATGTTTGAAAGGTAATTGAGAAAATATTATAAGATGAACACATCCGGAATATAAGTATTACAATTTTTAGTTTAATTTACCATCAATTTATATGCTATCAAACTATGAAAAAAAGGTGTGGGGTGAGAGAAGACAGAAAACAGAAAAATCTAGTAAACAGTGTTAGCTTGTATGTCAACATGTCAACTCAAGGAGGTTAAAGTTCATCAAATTGAAAACTTTCTAAGTGAGCTTAGCTCACTAGTTTGTATGACTAATCAGTGTAATGAAAGTAATACGGTTACCAAGGCAGTGAGCGATTAACTACACTCTCATTCTGTGTGCATAAGTTTGATTGCTATCGCTTCAGTAAATCGTAGCAGATTCGCTGTCTTATGTGTGTTTAATATTTTGAAGGACTTGGAAATCTCAACAAAATAACCCGTATCCACAAGGTGTCTGTCCGGTAATTGCATTTTGTAAATATCTGCTTCCTTTTAAGCATAAGTTTCTTGGAATATACTCTGAAAACCGGATAAAAGCCCTTCTTTCTATCCTTCCAATGTACTAGCTGCCACAGGTGCACGTAAATTTATAAATACAGTTAGAGGTAACATCAGCAGTTTATTTGCCTCCCATACAAAGGAGAAGCAGTATCACAAAAGATTGAAAAGAGGATGAAAGGAGCAATAAAGAGATGCTTCCCTGCAGTCAAGCTGGTGACACCATACAGCACTAGATGCTCTATAAGCCAACAATCTAAACTGGATAAGTACCCTGATGATGTTACCTCCAACTGCATCTATAAATTTACGTGCACCTGTGGCAGCTAGTACATTGAAAGGACAGAAAGAAGGGCTTCTAACCGGTTTTCAGAGCATATTCCAAGAAACTTATGCTTAAAATGAAGCAGATATTTACAAAGTGCAATTACCAGACAGACACCTTGTGGATACGGGTCATTTTGTCGAGATTTCCAAATCTTTCAAAATATTAAGCATAAGATTTGCTGAAGCAATTGCAACCAAACGTTTCAGACCGAAATAATGCACACAGAAAGAGAGTGTAGTTAATCGCTCACTGCCTTGGTAACCGTATTACTTTCATTACACTGATTAGTCATACAAACTAGTGAGCTAAGCTCACTTAGAAAGTTTTCAATTTGATGAACTTTAACCTCCTTGAGTTGACATGTTGACATACAAGCTAACACTGTTTACTAGATTTTTCTGTTTTCTGTCTTCTCTCACCCCACACCTTTTTTTCATAGTTTGATAGCATATAAATTGATGGTAAATTAAACTAAAAATTGTAATACTTATATTCCGGATGCGTTCATCTTATAATATTTTCTCAATTACCTTTCAAACATTGAATTATGAAATGTTATTATTTATAACCATTGTAATTTCAGGCGGTTTGCAGTTGATGAGAATCTGTGAAATAGACTGATGATATCCTTTTATACTGCAAATCTGGTGTTTCTTCCTCTATCGAAATTTATCAAAGGAACCAAATGTATGAAAAAATTAATCTCTAACCACTATAACTAAATTTTTAGAAAAGACAATATATACATGCATTCATACATATAGAGGGTGTAGAGTAGAAACACACATAACAATTTACACAGGAAAAGGCGTTCAACGAAGAGTTACTCTTTTCAGCGATATCATTCTCCAGCTTTATGGGAATCCTTCGAAGTAAAGACGGGAGTAAGAAAAGCTGCCTACTATCTCCAATGATGTTCCTGATTGCGGTAGACTGGATAATGCGACAGACAGCAGGCAATGAGGAAAGAGGCATGAAATGGACTCACACAAAAAACTTGGAGGATCTGGACTTCGCCAATGATATAAGTCTGATTCCCCTCAAACTGGAAGATATGCGAGTGAAAAGCAGCAAGTTAGCAGAAGAAGCATCAAACGTAGGACTTCAGGTGAACATAGAGAAAACAGAGATGAAGATTCCTGGCCAACAGAGACAGTAACCGACAACAACCAGAATAAATGGGAGGAACCTGAAACAACCTCCTTTACCTACCGACCTTGGAAGCATCGTTTCAACAACGGGCAGAAATAACGAGGATATCAAAGCAAGGATTGGGAAAGCAAAACAAGCTTTCATTACTCTCAGGTCTGTGTGAAGGTCAACAGCACTCTGCATCAAAAATAAGATCCGGGTTTTCAACTTCAATGTGAAATCAGTGATACTTTACGGATCAGAGACTTGGAGCGTCATAAAGAACACCTCAAACAAACTACAGACCTTCACTTAATACCAATCAAGGTCAGATGGCCGTCCAGAAAAGATCAGCAACAGAGATCTCTGACAATGAGCGAACTAACCAGGAACCGATTGTGAAACAAATAGGCAGGAAGAAATGGAGATGGATTGGCCATCCTCTGAGGAAACCACCAAGTGACATTACTAGACAAGCCATCGAGTGGAACCCGAACGGGAAGCGGCGAGTTGGTCGTCCAAGGGTGACTTGGAGGAGGTCATGTGAAGAGGAGATGAAAGTGTGTGGGCAGACTTGGAGCCAAATGAAAACGTTAGCAGGGAACCGAAAGCAATGGAGACGCACGGCTGAAGCCCTATGTTCCTCTAGGAATTAAAGGAAACAATAATGATAATAATTATTCTCCAGTTTGAGAATGAAAAGAGTAACTCTTTGTTGAACACCTTTTTCTTTTACATGACTCAATAAGGGATTTTTCAAATTACGTAATAACTTACCGAACACATTCTAAAAATGGTCCTTCATTAGAAGTTGATCTTTTTGTTGTTTTATGATGATTAGTTTCATTCGACTCCAAATAACACGTGTTACAAGTATGAGCAGGACAACGAAGAATTTGAAAACCTCCTGGTCGTGTAGATGAAGATTCTGGTCTTGTCATTGCACCAGGCCATCCAGATAAGCATTCACGATGAAAATGTCTACCACAATTAACAACCTTGAAAATAATTTAAAGTGTCAAAGTTTGATTACATAAAAGTCACCAACTGGGAAGTTACAAAACCTTCTTTTTTTTATCGACTCTTTCCATCCCATTGGGTGTAAAAATATATTCAACCTGATAAATACCTACGATATATACACCATGCTCTAATGATTAATAAAGGCAGTTGGGAGAGAACTCACACACACACATCAAACAGATCGAGAATATATTTAAGTAACGGACAGGCATTGTGCTTATTTTAGGCTAAACTCACCACCAGTAATATACGCGAAATGGCTCAGCTGAGAGAGTTGAATCAGGGCCAATCCAACTGAATTCTAGCTGGTTACCGACAATTTCACCACCACAGTTTCCTTCAGAAACTAAAGATATTCAAATTAGAATCACCTAATTCGATTTGGACATTCCCATCGATTGATCGAACCGAAGTGTTCGGCCTCTGATGACATGTCGGCACCTTGTGTGAATGCTTCGACAATGTCTGGGAATTTAACTTGGTGGAACTAACTTGGTGAGTGGTGACTAGCACAGTCCAAATCGAATTGAATAATTACTGATACCCATTGAACAAGGGCTGGCTCTCGTTGTCCATGCGGTCTAGTAGATAACGCTTTGGCAGTTAAAAACGATGGGTACTGGGGTTCGAGCCTCACTGAGAAATGCAGGTACATCCCAATCTGACGAGTCTCAAATAGGACGAAATGCACGTTATCCTGGACTCCACACTGCTAGTCACCACTCAAAAAATCGGAATACAAAATACTCTTAAATTACTCAATGAATCCAATTATAAAATATAATTTATCTCAAAAATATAGTGAGTTAATATATACATATACAATAACGTTTATTTGATTAGAATATGTACACAAGTTACCTGACACGCATACAGCTGACCGACACCATCCTTAGTCCCTGTTTCATCTGGTTTACCGCATATTGAACACAAGAATTCACCACTAAGACATTGTGGGCAACGAAATCTCTCAGGACGATTATTGTCTATGTAATACAAAGGTAAATAATAGGGAAAAAGAGGTTAAATAAAGATACGAACAACAATCAGATACATAAGAATATTATATCATTATTATTATTTTATAATTATCCCCTCAAGTTCCAAGTGGAATATAAGATTTTAGCAGCACATCACCATATCATTCTGCGCTCAATAGTGCTCTTCAAATGGTTCCACGACTGCACGTAAGCGTTAATTTCCTTCCGAAACGACCTCCTTCATATCATCCTTGGACACATTCTCAACGCATCGTTTCCCATTCGGGTTACACTCAAGGAATTGCTTGGGGCGTGATTTCACACCACAGTCTCAGCAGTGTGTGTACAATCAATCCATCACCGTTTCTTTTCATACATTTTCATACTATAGGTCCTTGTGGTGGTTCGTCGTCTGACTTCCTTGTCACTTATGGCTTCCGACCATCTGATCCTCAGTATGGAGCTTCCTCAGCGAAAGCAGTTGCTGCTTAGAAATACAATTTTCCTGACGTCTCAAGTCTGTAAACACTGATATTCCTTCTGAAAATCCTCATTTTGTTCTTTACATTGTGTGCAACAGATTTCCACACTAATTTAAGTATGATTAATAAAGGCCTGTCTGTGTCGCTTTTTGTAAATCCAATTCCGCCATCCGTGCCGCCTGTAGTTGAAACGATGATACTAGGGGAGCCATCGTGTAAGAAGTAAGTGACTTCATTCCTCACCACTTCACTGGAAATCCTGACTTCAATGCCAGCCTCTTCTACCAACTTATCCATTTTCACCTGTGTACACTATACACACACTTAAAAGACATACCAAGTAACTCTACGTTCATAGCTAAGGTTGTAGTGCCTTAATTATAGTATGACAGTTTAAAAAAAACCTACTCCCTCATTCATTCACAATAAAGTTATATTGGAGTCAGTGTGTAAAGCATTCATATACCATTTCGTCCTACGGGAGGTCAATAGCGAACCCCAACAGCTTAGTGGTAACTTTGTTGACTGCAGCGCACTGACTGCACTAGGTCATCCACGTTCGAATCCCACAAGCGACATGAATTCTTTCACGATTACAGATCCACCATGCTGAAGAGTGTCGAACAAACACACAAAACGTAGGTCAGATCCTTTCTACCACCGATTGCATCAAGCCATCTAGCCAGACTTCCGACTAAAATGTTATACACACATAGGAGTTTACAAGACATACACACATTATTATAACAGAATAGAAAAACCAGTGTACCCCCCACAAAACCTACCTGATGGAGGTGGACTTTTATACTTCATACATTTTATATGTACAATTCTACCGCATGGACCACGACACTGTAACATTTCACCTGGTATAACAGAGTATACTTCACATACAGGACAAACTGGTTGTAAACGATACTGTGCCGGTGAGACAATTAACCGGTGGATTTCAACATCAAATTCTTGTGGTTCTGATGTTTGTTGTTGTTGGCGTTTTTTCACTTCAGATTTCTGATTATTATTTAAATTAAAAAAATTTTCAATTGACAAGTAAAGAGGCTATTAATAAATGAAAGAATGTCAGTATTACTAATATGATTGTATAACAACAATAATAATAATAATAATAGTAATGATGATAATAATAATAATAATAATTTGATGCAATAATAATTTGTCAGAATAATTAATAATGACAACAGTTTAAAATAAAGGTAATTTGTAACAGCACAATACACCAAATCATCTGCAAAACAATGGAGAGTGATGAACAATTATCAGTTATATAAAGGATCCAGTGCGTCGGTGGCACAGAGGTTAGGACGCTCGCCAACCATGCACATGGTCCCCAGCCGACGCACTCCTTTACCTCACTAAGCCAGTAATAGAACTGGCAAGGAGGGAAGGTTGGGCATGAGACTAGCAACTTCATTCTGTAAAAATAAACACTGCTACAGAAACTTCAAGCCTCTAGCTTGAGACCCTATGTTCCACTGGGAACGTGAAGGAATAAAAAAATATAAAGGATCTAACAAGAACCCTCCATTTAAACCAAATGGAACGAACGACGGTGGGTACACTCCGTTCGATATTTTTCTCGAAACGCCCTTATGTGGCCACGCGTTCACAGTCTATCTCCCTCTTGCAAGGTAAGTCCTATTCATCACTGCCTTCATGCGACGACGGGGTTTTTCTTCACATAACTGAAGTGAAAGGGAGAATGAGAATACCTGGCACTTACAACCAGTAGTGTACATGGGCCCCAGAATCAAAACGGATCGAATGGCATGTGAAACTGTTTTTTGTCGCTGAAAATCGTGGCAACGTAGCTCCTGACGCTGGTCCGTCCATTGCACTGCCTTGTGGATCAGACTTCATATTAAAGCCTCGGAGGTGCTTCGATCAGGGTAGCCGGGAAGTATCGCAGTCCTTGTACAAATTATAAGATTTATTGTGTGGTGTGTCTCTCAGTGTGCATAATGAATGTAAGTTATCAGTTATCTCAACTTTTCTTAGATGCACATACCACACAGTGATAACAGATGAAAAAGGAAAGGTTAGAAGAAATATCAGATATTATCAAAATTCTCAAGAAAAACAATTATCCAAAGGAATTTCATCAACCAAAAACCAACACCAACACCAACATTAAACATGGCCGAAAACGAATTCGAAAAACACAGATGTCAACAGTTATCTCATAGAGAGAAAGCACGTCAGATGAAATCAGGAGAGTACTTACTCAACGACAAAAAATATAACATCAGAGTTATCTCCAAAACGTCAAACAGACTAAAAAGCAATCCTGTCCGTCTTAGATATTGAATTCAAAAGGATTCCCAATCTTACCGTGTCTACAAAATAAAATCCTTAGGATTTGATGCGACATAATATATCGGACAGAAATCAAGGTCAGCAGAAATGAACATCGCACAGCCTCTCTATATTCCACATCACTGAGAAATCCAATAAAAATAGAAAGGCTTGAAAAATCATCAGCCATAGGTTCAAAAATTGATTTTGATAATATTGAAATCATCATTCAGAAAGATTTAAAAAGTGTCATATCGGAAGCACTTCATACTAAGTGGAATCCAAGTCGTTAGGTTGGGGGAATGACGGATTGAGACAGGATTCGACCTGGTCCCAACACCACCCACCCCATTGACTTTACAGGACTACCATTTCACCTTCATGCTGAAGAACTATGATGATTAACCAGAAAGACAGCTAGCTAACATACTACACAGTCGGGAGAGAGATAGCAACAATAGCCAGAGGAGATATATGTGATGCTAGTAAAAGGTTTCTCTCCAGCGATTAGCATATTATCTATACTGTCCACCAAGTTTGGGTATAAGGCGTTAGAAACAGTTGACCCTTTAAAGCTGTGTCCTTCGTTCGTTCTCGCCGTTGCTACAAGGAGTCTGCATCAGCCGAGTATCGAACCCCGGACCACATAAGTGGCTAGCGAGTATTCTACCGCTGAACCACCAACGCACTCTCTCCTGCTGTTAAAGGCAAGGTTTTTTCTATAGGCGTGTGTAGATGTGAACTCACGAACATCAACAACTTATTAGAAGATCCTGTGCTATCCGACTACAAGAGCAGATATTTCTAGGAGCTCGAAAGTAACATACACATAAGTGCTTCAGCGTATTTTTTTTCAGGAGTTCAACTTCGATAATATGAACAGATGGAGGTCACGAACAATCCAACTTATCAATCACCTTGATGAGTGGAAAACAATGAGTAAACAAAATTGACCACTAATTACACAATTTTCTTCACATAATACAGAAGTATCAATCGAATGGTAGAATACTGGAACTTCTTACAAAATTATAGGCAACTGTGATTATCAGATAGATTTCATCATAAACTGATGTGCCAGTGTGTTAGAGACCCGCTGAAAACCAGGGATTACTAAGAATCTTCTCATTCACACATGGTTTGAAACTCTTAAAAATGCCATAATTATGACTTCATCACTAGGGGGATTAAAAACACAAAAGTTTTAGGTTATGAAGTGAGTCGGTGGCACAGCGGTTAGGACTCTCTCTCTCTCTCTCGGATCATGCACATGGTCCGGGGTTCGATCCCCTGTCCACGCACACCTGGTATCAATGATCGGCCTGCAAAATTTGGACTACCGATGTCACATGCTGAAAATTCCATACTTGTACCAAAAAGTACCGTGGGGAATCAAGCTATAATCAAAATCAAAATTACAGTTTAGCTAGACAGCAGTTGAAATCCTATGATCTATTAGAAATGAATGAATAGAGGGGAATACCATCAATCAGTTACACAGTTAAGGTAGTACTGCCTAGTGAGAAAACTGTGAGTAACGCGCTTTAGGCAGGTACATGAAAAAAAAGAAAAAGTGAACTACAAAACAAAACAGCACAGACAGTCATTAAGAAAAAAAGGAAAAAAACTTGCACAAAACTTACTTTGCTAGACCTATTGGAATTTCGATTTTCTGCAGACTTTGCGGCAGATTCCTGGGCTTTACTAGCTGCAACTTCTTTACACTTACGAGTCTTTTCTAAACGCTGAAAGAAAAGTAAAGGATAGGAGGTAAAAAAACTGAAATTACTTATAAACCAGTATAAAAACTTTATATATATATATATATATAATAGTAACTAAATAAGAGCTATGTGCGTCGGTGGCACAGAGGTTAGGACGCTCGCCAACCATGCACATGGTCCGCGGGGTTCGATCCCCGGCCGCCAACGCACTCCTTTACCTCGCTCACTAAGCCAGTAATAGAACTGGCAAGGAGGAAAGGTTGGGCACGAGGCTAGCAACCACATCCTGTAAAAATAATTACCGCTGCTACAGAAACTTCAAGCCTCTAGCTTGAAGCCCTATGTTCCACTGGGAACGTGAAGGAAAAAATAATAATGATAATAAATAAGAGCCATGAGTCACGAAAAAATATGAAGTATGAGCCAATGAGTTACCCTGTTCAGAAATGTATCAATTAAATTATTGTGAAATTTTTTCAAGAATTTTGGTATGAAGCAGCCTATTGATTAAATTAACTAAGGTCGTTAGCGAGTGTAAGAAATCTGATATGATTTCTAAAAACAGCATAATAATAATAATAATAATCCTTGAACTTTTCCGTAAACTCAAAAATAGAACCAAATATTATCTAGGGTTGAAAATACATTGAAAAGGATATATGAAATAAGAGAACAGATATGAAATAATAATAATAAAAATAGTCTTGCTCTAATATAGCGTTTATGATTCCACTGTTTATAGTAGTCATTTATCGGTTACGTAGAGCTGAGGTTTCAGAAATTATTAACTCTGAAGGCTAGTTCAGTTCAAATTCCAGTACTGGTCCAACAACGTCGCCTTCGGTGGTTTGGCCATGTTCTGCGCCGACCAGATGACGATCTGGTCAAATCAGTTCTAAATCCCTCGCCATTACCATCTTGGCGATGTTGCAGGGGTGGACAGCTGAAAACATGGCTTGGTACAGTCAAGGCTGATATGGAGTGCCTGGGGCTACAAACCGTCTACAGACTCCGTCTGTGGAACAAGAATTGGATAACCCTGTCGCAAAACCTTGCATCAGATCGCCGCGCCTGGGCAGCGATGATTCGAGATGTTGATGAAGCCGGCTCATCCTCCCGTATGAGATAGCCGAAGTAAAGTAAAGTAAGTAAGTTCAGTTCAAGCTTAGGAGTTGTGCAGTTTAACACGGTACTAAGTTCAATGGTAATATTTCTTATTTCATTATGGTAAACGACTGATTTGTCTATCTGTTTTCGACATAGAACTTTGCACCGATGTGCAGCAGTTCAAGTTGCCACACTCCCTCCATGTAGCACATAAAGCAAGAGAAGTAAAAAGAAATGCAAAGTAGAAGCAGTAAACAGAGATATGAGGCAAAAAGAATAGTAATATAAAAGAACCATATAGCCTTAATGGATATTATAAGTCACAGGGAGTGGATGCATCTGCATCAGCCAGCTATTGGGAACGATCACTTTGAGCCATATCACCAATTGTCTCCAGCCTTCATTGGTTCTTACCGTCCCGAGGGCCCCAACCAGGAAGTCTACATCTTCCTACGTGGCTGGCGTAAATTTACTGTTGTGGATTTCATTGACTGGTGCCATGTTTTGGTTTGACCGCCGCTACCTCTTTTCCAGCCTGACCCTATGTCGGCTAACATAGCGACTGAGTTGAATTATAATTAGTACTCTATGTACTTAGAATGCTCGTATGGTTTTATTGTACCCATTCATCGAAATATGAGGTAAAATTGCCATGAATTTTGAAACAGAGGTGAATTTTTTTCACCGGCTTTTGTTATATTAAACATTACAAGGTTAAGTTAAAGTTAGTTTATTTTAGGAGTTTGTGAAGTTATTTCTTTGTAGAAAGTTTCTAAGTAAAACTTTTGATTTTGCACTGAGGCCATCCATTTTTTTAAAGATCATCGCTTTCTGTAGTAATATTTCTTTATGTTCTACCGATGAAATGACTACCAAATAGCGCCTTTATGGGAGGGTGGTATGCAATATGATAATTATGCTCGGTAATTTCACGGGAATGTGAACCAACCTGATCCCTGCAGCGTACAAGCGTTGCTGTAAGCGTCTCTAGCACACCGACTGTGCAAAGACTGTTACGGTTCGACAGCACACTTTGCACAGGAGGCTATATGTATTGTTTAATGAGGTAGCATTGAAGATTCTTGATGGCGAAGTCTCCTTATCATAGAGGAAAGGGAACCAGTTCCCAGGTATTGATAATGTTGTTAGAGCCATTGATAATTTCAAAAGTAGACTGGATGCAACATTATTAGAAAATTGTGTCTGCAACATGCTTAATTCCTTTAATATGAAAGGTGTACAAAAGGTTGTAGATCTACAGTAAAACTCACTATACAGTAGGCAGCCACGATAAATGTCAAGCGGAAAGAACACCAATGAATTGTGACACTAAACCACTGTATATGACGTATCGCCAATGACAGATGTCGTTGTCCCAATGAATAAAATCTAATTGCAGCACACCTGATCTCTCGAACAGGCTGATCACCTTAACAAGGTGGGAGAATATAGAACCCAAGGCTAGGTTTAAACACGACCTACGGTAAAGTCGAATCAGTTATACATAAGCTACTGTCTAAGTTAGTAGCAGGTAAAACCACTAGTATTCTGTACGGAATCGGTAGCAAGGACGACTCCACAGTAAGTCAGTTGGCGTTCTCAATGTTACAGTAAGCTCAGAGTGACACGCGATTCTTAGCAATGCCCATATTTTCGAAGGATCGAGTACCTACGTCTGCGCAGACTTATGCCCAGCAGACTGTAAAAGAAGGGTTTTCTGAATTGGAGTTAGACAAATAGCATCGCAACGACGAGAAAAACCTTGTTATCGAGGGTTTTCAGGTAGAACGTAGAAGCACCGAACCGCACCAATAGTTTGATGCACTAGTACCTTCAGTCTATCGAATAAATGGACTGAGTTAAGTCAGAAAACCCAGATGTTATCGCCAGGATGGAAATCAGTAACCGTGAGGTTAACCTTCAAAACTTTAGAGTGCATAGGGTAGATCGATTAAAGCGCAGAAGGGGGTGAAGTATTCATCTATCTTAAGAAGAGCCTGACACTGCATAGCACAGCTCTCACACAGGAAAAGAGATTACAAAAACTTCTAAACTGAAGACTAAAATGTAAAGCAGAAGACATTGATTTCATCTTCATATATCGCAGTCCCGACAATACAGCAGACGATTATCTCATAGAAGAACTAGGCTTGTGGACATCAGTGTCACTACTTTATAATCGGAGATTTTGAAGTTCACTGATACTCTTACAAATTCCCGTGTGAAGTGGTATAGCAGGGTAAGCAATACTGAGGTTGGACGTCGAGTGTTAGGTAAGAAAGGGAAATCAATCGACACGGCTGTGAAGCTACATCGACTGAGATGGTTAAGACATGTGTTAAACATGTCTGCCTAGTCATCGCCTTCCTCGACAATGGGCAATGTAGCTGACATAGAGTCAGGCTGGAAAAGAGGTAGCGGCGGTCAAACCAAAACATGGCACCAGTCAATGAAATCCACAACAGTAAATTTACGCCAGCCACGTAGGAAGATGTAGACTTCCTGGTTGGGGCCCTCGGGACGGTAAGAACCAATGAAGGCTGGAGACAATTGGTGATATGGCTCAAAGTGATCGTTCCCAATAGCTGGCTGATGCAGATGCATCCACTCCCTGTGACTTATAATATCCATTAAGGCTATATGGTTCTTTTATATTACTATTCTTTTTGCCTCATATCTCTGTTTACTGCTTCTACTTTGCATTTCTTTTTACTTCTCTTGCTTTATGTGCTACATGGAGGGAGTGTGGCAACTTGAACTGCTGCACATCGGTGCAAAGTTCTATGTTGAAAACAGACAGACAGACAATTCCTCCTCCATTTCACTGGCATAAGTCCAGCACATTAAGAAACCGATGCGTTATTCTTAGCATCCTTCTACAACCTTCGATCACTGTCTTCTACAGTAACGTGGACTTTATATAACACCTTCCACCCCTAGGAAGAAGTAATCACTCTGTGCTCACGTTTATCTTCAAAGCTTTTGAAGTATCCTGGGCCAAAATCCAAGCATTACCAGACGTGTAGAGAGTCGATAAAAACACTATCATTTCTTCAGCAGAATCAGGGTGTCGGATTATAAATCTGGAAGCTTATAGGGAAGCTGTATAGAGTCGTTTCAAGCAACAACATTCCCCGGTAATCGAACCCTTCATCCCATGGATTGTCCTCAAGCGCCGAAAACATTGTTCCCTATGGATAAACGAGGGGAAATTTGTGGACTACTTAGGACTAAACACAAGTGAAAGAGTGTTTATCACACTTGGGACTTCAGAAACAAGAAAGTTGCACACTGGACCAGAAACACATCAGTCACGAATGAAATTAAAAGTGCATCTAACGCGAAAAGCATCGATACAACTCAAGAAACTATATTAGTACATCAACTACACAAATAAGACATCTAACACGGTCTTAAACCTGATTACTGACAAAGGTCACGGTAGGTCACTTTTCCAGAGTCTTAACATAGAAGTCGCCACCATCCGTAGCTTCTGCCCTGGTAGCAACACATGAAAAATGGATAGATCCCATCAACATCGACTACGATACTGTATTCCAATACCTGAATAAACTAGGCACAGGAAAATAAATGGGATACAACGATTTTCACCCAAAGCTCTCCAAGGGGTTGGCAACTCATAAAGCCAGCCAAATGACTACCATCTTCAGGTTATCCCTCCCATGTGGAAGAGTGAGGTATGATTCGAAAAGTGCAATAAGGGAGGACTAGGGCATTTCTTTTCAAACTACAGGCCTATTAGTCGTACTAGCACTTTGATCAATATACTGAAATGAATAATCAAAGAGAACCATCATCACATATTTGGAAAATAACAAATTGTTATCCACAGTACAGCATGTTTTAGATGGAAATATCTCGGGTCTGACAAAGAAAAGCTGATTCAAGTCCAGGGACAACAACAAAACCACCTATGTCGTTTCTATAGATTTCTGAAATGCTTTCCGCTCTGAGCAGTGACACAACACTGCTCATATGACTGGGAAGTTTTGAAAACTAGGGTGGTCCTCTCGGGCGGATCAAGGTTTCTCTCGTAGGAAAGAGACACAGAGTGAAGAGCAACTTAAAACTCTTTTTGAACAAGTTAAACGAACGAATTATGTTTGCTCACCAAAGCTCTCATGGTTCTATAGGCGGATGACCTAAATATTTGAAAAATTTTAAAGATGACAACAACATGTTCATGTCGCAAGACCTCAACTACCTCCAAAACTGGACCAAAGAACAGATATTCCTTATGAATACAGCAAAGAGCGCAACCATGCGCATAGGGCACGTGTATCGGAGCATACAATATTGGGGACACCACTTAATTTCAGGCAAACGCAGATCTAGGTGTCATAGTAATGCATCAACTAGAAATTACAGCACATCTGCACAGTGGTAGCTTGCAGTCTTAGATACTTATGGACGATACACAGGGCCTTTTACTAGGATCAACAGTGAAATATTCACCACTATAAATCTCTTGTGAGAAGCTGTCTCTAAGCTATGCTGGTGAAACTGGAAGCGAAGATAAATTATCTTACGAAATTTACGACATCTATTGTCTGTACAACTACGAAAATTAGCTATCTTTGAACAGATCAGACAGCTTGAAATCTACACTTCAATGATAACGGTAATCTGAATATGTGCTGTCAGCTATGAATAACACTAAGGGTCAAAATGAGTCTTTTCCCTGTCATAATGAACAATAAGATTTATAAATTGAGAAGCCTATCAATCAAAGAATTAGACGTTACTAATTTTTGAGGGGTCAGAAATAGAAACATAAACCACAATGGCATGGAAAAAGTCAGAATGCATAGTACAATCAATAAACTAACTTGTAAAGAGTCATTAAATATACTAAGCTGGTCCTGCAGGTATCTCCGTTTTGTGGGAATATCAAGTGTAGGCCAGAGTGTTCGTAATTCCTCTTCAAGGCACTTTCTATCCAATTCAGGATTAATTTCGATACGTACGCCCATTTCATCCTTGAGAAAATTAGCTAGCGACTCAGCTTCTTCTTCCACAGTTAGAGGGATAGTACTCATCACTTGCAAGGTCTGTCCTGAAGGAAAAATGAGCTTTTGCAATTTATATTACCTTCTTCAGCTTTGTAAAATCTTCTGGATTTCAGTTTGACAGAGATCCGACCAAACTTCTCAATCCTTTCATCAAGTGTAAGTTTCATTGCCTCTTCGGCTTCTTTCCAAGACTCTGTCCAGAACTCACGACTACTTGAAACGGACTTGCTGTCAAACTTGACTCTTTCCTTTAAAAACAATGAGTAAGGTGACACAAACTCACAGATCTGTCTTTGCAGGTACGTAACTTTTCTTCAACATACTCATCAAAAGCTTTCTTACCCTCAAATGGAATAAGATTGACTGCAGATACCCAGGCTCTTTCCACCAAGGGCCCAAGGAATTGAACATGATATGTGAGTGATCGACCTATATTATTAGAGAGGACATATAACATGAACTGATCGAACCTTTCTCCCTAACATAATCATCCCCATTAGGAGCGTAGTATATCATGCATGGCCACCAAGGGTGTGAACCAACTTTTGCCCAGAAAATACTGCCTAGTTGGTAATCATTAGTAACGCTAGGCATATTCAGAAGTGTAACGCAACGTTTGACCGAAGCGCCTCAATTTGAATCGAAAAGACTTGTGTAAAGAAGTCAAAACCTCTTGTAAAAGTTGAAGCATATTACAAAGTTGTATAATAAGACTAAAAGCTGTACAGCTTTCTTGTCACCTTGAGTGTCATAGTGATTTAATCCCCACTGGATTCAAAAAATGTTGAATTGCTTAACAAGATCTGATGAATGTTACATTAGTTTTGCAACATCCTTGGATGAGAATAACCCTCCAGAAAATGTGTTAGATATGAAAGACAACTCGTTTTGGATAACTACGGGAATGTTCCCACAAATGCTGGTAGTGTCACTGGTTCAGCCCGCTAGAATTAGTAAAATTAAAGTCTTTTCTAGCAATATCAATATTCTTTGGGTATGTTTTATGAGAATTTATCTGTTTATTTAGGATCTCTTGTTGTCTTTTCAGCTCTACAATAGTATTATGAATTTTTCATTTTTATTATTTGTTGGTGTACCAACATGATGTTAGGATTAGGGAGACTTCGAACAATAAAGCTGGTACGTTAGCTGCAGAGAGGATTTAGGAAACGTTTAGAGTAACTTCACATTTTCTTTAAAATATGATGAGAAATGGAAACCTCGTTTCATTATTTTATTTTTGAAAAGTAGGTCACCCAGTTGTAGCTTATTATATACTAAATGATGATTTGGTTATCACCCTCTCTTACTTTCCAAGACACTTCTGGTATATTAGAGAGATGTTTGACCGTAATGGAAGAAGACACAAGCTGGTATCCAGCTTAATTTACCGGCTAATTATCGATTAGGACTCTTTTCAGATTAAGTGGTTTCGAATTCTTCGGTGAACGCCTTTACAGAGAAATAGAATTTTCAAGGAGATATATATTCCGTGAATTAACATAGGTTACGGCTAGTTTGCTAACCTTTGTTACAGAAAACCGAAGACCGAACGACGATAAATCGAAAAAACTTTCCAAGACACTTGTCTGCAGAGCACGATTCATATATGTTCTGCGATTTATCGCACATGATTCCCATGGGTAAGATACTCTACTCCAACATGATTATTATTATTATCTGTAACATTAGAAGCTGAGCTAGCTTGTATCCCTGCACTGTAAGGCAGTATTCTATGGACACACTTCATCCTTCCTTGATGGTGAATATTTGAATTTTCGGTATTTACAATTCAAAATCTTGCAGTCATAGAGGTTTAATTACTTCACGCCACATCTGGATTTCTCAGTCATCCCACTGGATTTACTTGCTACATTTCATCTTGATATATTTGATATCTTCCATTAACTTCTTTTCAAGGTTAGCCATGTTACACTATCCAGTATCCTCATAACTACAGTCACTAATTAAAGTTTTCTAAGATCTCATACACTGGTTCTGATTAGCGATTCCGAGTTTCTGGAGTTTCGTTCGTTAAATTCAGCCATATATCTGTAATAACTTTGGTAGATGATGAAATAGGTAAGACTGATAAATGTAAACGACATACATTTAACATCTGTCAAAACCCAGGTACTCCTTTCCATTCAACTACTCTTTATATCTTGCTAATAGATGTTGTTCTCAACTGGATACCAGTCTATTCATCTTAAGGATAAATAATGAGCGTATAAGAGAATTATTTTGCATGATTAATGGTAGACCGATGATTTAGATCCAGTTATGCATCTAATTTTTAACTGATATACATTTATCTGTCTTTTGAGAGAAAACGTAAGCATAATGGAATTTCTAGTCTGTGCTACTAGATAACCTGAACTTTTCTTGAAGGAATTGCATAACACACTGCTGAAGCTGGGATCGTAGTAGTTTTATGTGTGACCAGTTCAAGACGAAAGTGTTTTTACTGAAAATTTGAAAGATAAGTCGCTAAACCGTGTGTCTCTTCTGTGTTCTTACCGATAAAATAGCCATCGAAGAACGGTTTTATTTTCAGATTAGGAGAATGATTGTGACTAGGACTGCTTGATAACAGTGATTACACTTATTCAATAAGACTTAGATTAATATGAACCTGAAGCTGTTATTTATATTTCAGGTATAAGAACCGACGACTCTATATTGCTGTAAGGATAAAATTTTAACTAGATCCTCATAGAATGAAGTTAACTGTAGATCATTTGAGAACTTAAGCTTTATAACATACCATTCAAAATCCAGCATAATTAGTGACTATGCAAAAAACCGATAGTTTTCTAACTGAAACATCCTGGCCAATAGTAGTATGTTCAGTTTTTTTTAACTTACTGTTTGTTTCACATTGTTATAGTGACCGAAAATGGCCTCAACATAGAACTTTTCTTCAAAAACTCCGAGTCATATGCACGGATTCCTTAAAAATATCTTGTTCAGATATTTTGCCTGAAATTTCCAAGTTCTGTAAAAAGCTCATTTAAACTTTACTTCAGAACACAGAGTCAGTTCTCTTTTGAAATGACATTAATGCCTAACGGCTTGCAGGCATTAAGTACCCTGTGTCTGTTCCAAACACAAAAGTTTGGTTGTGAAAACAGTATAAGTAACAGGAACTTATGAGAAAATGAATGATTTCTACACTTTTTTTTAAAAACAACCTTCTCGTTTTAGATCTTTTGTGACTTAATTCAACTAACTAGTTACTATGTTTAGTTTTCACTGGGCAATCTAGGAAAAGATTGGCTTGAAGGCTTTATCCCTCAATTTTTTTCATATAATTCAGCTCTTTAGATAGTTCAACTTTTTCCAGTTATATGATAAGCAAGCAGAGGTAATTAGGCACAATGCACATTAAAGAGACGTATATCAAAGTAAAATATTATTATTACTTTTTATCTCTTAACACACTCCTGGTTAACATAATGCATATCACGAAAGTGAACATTACCATGTCTACACTTTGACTCTTGTCACTATCGAAATTTAATATACCCATAAAGTATTAGTATTAACTGTTAATAAAGTGAATCATGTTTTGTGGAGATGTGGCTTATTGGCTAAAGCACTCAGTTTTTAGTCGATGAGTCCCAGGTTCCAGTTCCGCTCCACATAAGAATTATGTTTTTGGTTGGAGGATTTTCATCATGAGCTGACATCAGCTAGAGAACCATTGGAAAACCGGCTGGGAGTACTGGACAGCTGTTTCGTTAGCCCAGTTTGGGACTCAACCTCACTACACACCCAATGGGGCTCAAACCCAGGGCCTTCTGGTCACAAGGCAAGCTCGTAGACCGTTAAGCCACCGGGAGCTAATCCAATAGCCAATCCATGAATTGTAACTTCCGCTAATTCACAACCACTTCACATTGTCTTCAACCTGCTGTACCCTACTGATTACGGCTTCCGACTAGAACCCAAGATTAACTGCCTGAATAGAGTCAGTTGCTAGTGATGAAAACCCTCCAACCAATCAAACAAAATCCCTACAAAAAAAACATTACTTGAAAGTTATGCACAACACATCTCCATTCCACTCTGTTCTCTAGAGAAATTTTTAGCTGGCTTCACGATTCACCATAAGCTTTCATCACCTCTTGACATGATCTCCCCTTCATATCACTCTCAGCTAGCCATTTCCTATTCTGCTTCTACTGGAGGGATTGCCTGTCGCGTGATGTTATCCAACGATCTCCTCTGTGTGGTGAGTGTGTGTTTGTTTAATCCATCACGATCTGCTTCTGAATACTTTTTTGTGTGATAGATTCTTGATTCACTCGTCGCCATGGTTCTTTATGGTTTATCCTTGCTGAACACCTGATATTGACATATTGAAAATCAGAGTCTTGTTCCTTATTCATCTATGAAAGAAGATCAAACGAATTCACTAGCTTCGTGTAGACTGGAAACTTCGTTATATAACTGATTTTTAGAGAAAAATAAAATACCAGTAACCGACTTTAACATTCCCTATTGGAGTATTTATTCATAATACATATATGTTAAACAGAAAAATTACGAGCGCAAAATTTGTCGCCAATATCTTTCCTTCATTTTCAATTATTTTTTGATGTAACATTAAGAGGTGTTTAAGTGCTGGTTCGCAGGAATTTGATTGGTTACTGGTTCGATCACTGGCTGACATCAGTTAAAGAACCTTTGGAGTTGAAAGAAGTTGGGATTCATGAGTCACTGCATCCGGTATCATTGGCTCAATGGTCTATGGCCTCGCTTTGTAACCGGAAGGTCCTGGACTCGAAACCCGGTGGGTACTTACTGCTGAAAAGTCATAAACTCGGGTGTGACAACTGCCGGATTTCCGACGGTCCTCTAACTGATGTCAGCTCTTGATTAAACCTGTAAACGTATGCAAAGATGCATTTAAAAATGATCAATATGAAGCATTGAGTAGAAATCATTTTTATTTTATCAAAACTGAGCTAAATACTCGACCTTTCAACTATTTACTGAAATCAAATTTTCAGTCTACACAGTTAGAGGTGAAATTTCGCTATGGTTTAACTTTGAAAAGCTTAATAATTCAGATCATAATATGTGGTCTGCTCACTTCTATCTGGCTAGTTGATGTGAGTAGTATTATCCCAATCAATCAATAGTATATAGTTTGAACAAATAGAGAAGAAACATTGGCGCAGAATAATCTTGATCCATTTAATTTCGTTGGCTCTCATCAGCTGCGTACAACCTGAATTTTTGTTATTAAAAATGGAGTGGTCTTTACTTGAATTTCAACAGCTTCTGCCCGGTGAGATACAAACGAACGCTGGTGAAAACGCTTTTCTCTAGAGCGAAGAGAATATGTTCACCAAACAAACTAGGCAGTGAACTGATGTTTCTTGAAAAATGCTTGAAAGAAAGTGGTTACCCATAAGGTTTCATTAACAAATATGGCAAGAATGAACTCAAGAAGCTTGATACTGCTACAGTTAGTAAGAAGCCTATTTTCATCAAACTCGACTACAAGGGCGACGACATTATGAGAATGATAAATAAAAGATTAAGCACAGCCCTGTCTAGGACGTATCCTGCAGCGTTACTAGTCTCTCTATCCCGAACAACCTCTTCACTGGTG